ATTGCAATAAAACGGCAATTTCATACTTTAACCCCATTGACTTACAATTATATGGACGTCGGGTCCGCGCTAAAAAGTGTCCGCACTTGTAAGGCGCTAAAATCGTATACAGAGCGCGACACTCCGCTTTAGTTTTCATTTGTTCGACAGACAGCACGATACTGCGATGACATTACAATTTAAATTTCGAATAGGTTGACTTGGGACATTTTTTTCGTGGTTTTTGTATTAGACCCGTCGTCCATTTATTTGTAAGTCAATGTTTAACCCCTAATATTATTATGTAGCCATTATAAAAAATAATAAATTAAATAATATAAGTTTTAGTATGTACATAAAATAAAAGCGAATATGGCACGTAATGCCGGCGCGGCGGGCGGCGGCGGCGGCGACTGTGTCGGCAAGTTACCAGCACCTACCTTCTAACGCCACAACCTAGTCGATTTCGAGGAATGCAAGGAACCGCCACATAATCACGTTTTTTTTTGGGTTTCGAATAAGAAAAATGTTTTATTTACAGAAATGAAACGTCACCAAAAGGATATCGGAGCGCATTTGTTGAATAATCTGTTACAAAGCATTACCGCGTACTGTTGGCGTATGCAAGGAACCCAACAAACATGAAAACGTTACTAATCTAACTTATTACTAATGTACAGGTTTTTACAGGAGAACTGAATTTATTGTCGTCGAGGGTAACCTTTATAAGGAAATTTAAGGCTGCTAAGTAACGTGTTTTCATCTACATAAGTATTCCCATAAATAAAAGAATGTCTTCTGAAAATAGCTATATTACTGAAACCATCCCTCTCTCACCTCCCTCAATAATTAAATCACATACAACATATTAAAAGAGCACCTTTTAAAAAGTTCACACTAGCTAGAAAATTTCATGCATCTTATTAATAACAAACAGACAAGATTAAAAACACTATCTCAACTGAAACATGGCACATTAAAAACTATGTCTTCAAAATATCAACAGCTACAATTAAATAATATTTAGTTTTTTACATTATTTTATGTTTGACTTTGTGCTCTTAGAAAAACAAGTTTTTGCATTTATACACAGTTTAGCGTATGGACGCTTGACAATCAATACCAATGAAAAAAAATTACGTTTTTACGGCACTTTTTATAATATCTAAGGAATCTAAGAGGACTTTTGCTTGATCCATGCATTTAGAAATCGTCATTCTGAAAATAACAAAATTTTTAATGAGCGTTTACTTTTATAAGAGTGGATTGCCTATTGTTGACAATATACACACATAGTTCAGTAAAGAGTAAAGCCATAAAATATACCATGAATACCATGAATTGACGTCTGCAATGAAATCACGCATGAGCGGAAGTCTACTCGACATGAAATATTAGACCCATTATTATCTATAAAAACGGAGCGGAAATGAACTACATTATTTTTAAATCTCCACGCCGCCATTTAGGTAGGTAGTAGATTTAATTAAATTCGTCGGTCAATTACGTCCCTATAAATACGCAATAGAGAAACAAGAACGTGAAGTGACGTTCAGATGTAAAAAAATACAGATATTTAAATAACATTTTCATTTTAAATGAAAGGTATAGTCATATGCACAAGATACCTGAATCGAACCACGGGTATTGTAACTGACAGTCCATATAACAAGCCGCTCGACCAATTTACTTGGATATTCAACGACGAAATTCAGTATTGGTTATATAAACATGTTGATCATCTTCAAGCAACGCTCCACTATATTGTTTATACAATAAAGTTAAAATTGCCTTAATTTTTTGTTCAATACGTAAGATCGGTCTCAGAACCAAAAGGTCGGTTTAGTCATTTTAGGGGGTCAGGTATCTCATGTATTTGACTGTACATACTATGTAAGTTTTTTATGAGAAATCTATATTTGAAGAGGCTAAAAATAAGTATACCTGTATTCTCCTAAAAGAATGTCGTTTACTTTATTCAGACCAACTTGCTTCAATACGAATTGAATATTATTGCTACCAGTGCAAGTTTCTCGATACAGGACGCTGCAATAAAAAAACATACAGCAAAATTAATGTCTTTTCGGTTGTTGCCGTTTATGCTACTTTTTGTCTATATGAAAGATACGGGCAGTTTATCACCTTCACGGTTAGTAGACATGCGCAAAACAGTGCCTGAAAAAGTAATGTAATATCACATTACATTCCCGTAAAAATAATTATACAGTACGTTATCACCATCACCCACATCACGCAGGCCAAAAATGAGATGCGTATAAGCATTATCTCATAATTTCGTGCATGCTTCGCTATTACCATCATATTGCATTAGTGCGATATTACCATCACCCGCTTGACACAGACTAAAATAAGATATGTTCTAACTTCTAAGCATCACTCCTTATTTTGTACGAGCTTAGTAATAATACCATCACTCGCAAATCATCTGTCCGAACATTGCTGCGACTGACACATCTATCTAGATATTGCGCAGTATAAAGGAACTATTACATAAATAATGATGCAAATAGAAATATAGATAATTCACTATTAAGAGTATTTATGGAATCTTTTTAATGTAACTGAAATAAATAATATCGTGCATCAATAAAAACCGTTATTGTGTCGAATGACGTTATGAGTGATGCTTAATTTTCCAAAGTGATGTAACCTTTGCAATTGGATTACGGATTTCTTGAGTGAACGTTCGATTCGAGTGGTATTAGAAGGCTACTTTTCCGAACATCGGGCGATAGAACCGGAGTTCCTCAAGGTCCTGTACTGTCCGCAACCCTCTTTCTGCTGCATATAACCGATATGTTGATACCAAGTATCTTTGGGTATGCTGATGACAGCACAGTTGTGGGCAGGTACTTGACCAATGCAAGGGTCAGTGGAGAAGAAATCCAGTCTTGTCGAGTCCATGGTTAATCATTTGAATTTGACACTTGAGGCAGTCTCCGATTAGGGCGATGCCAATCTTTCAAATTAAATGCTACCAAAACGCAGGCGTGTCTTTTCTCCAATAAACGGAGTCCCTTTCACCTTACTCCGACTTTTCGTGATATATCCATACAGAGAACGCCCGTCTTCACCTACTTGGAATGGACCTGTCGTCCAATCTGAACTTCGGCAGATACATTGAATTCATGGCCAAAAAGGCAGCCAGGAAGCTTGGCATCCTTTCCAATTGAGGCGTTACTTCACAGCGGGACAGTTAATTCAGCTGTACCAAGCAAAAGTCTGGTAGTGTATGGAGTACTGCTGCCACTTATGGGATGGATCTGCTAAATACCAACAGGCCACCTTGGATTCAATAGACAAGCATGCTAAGAGGCTTATAGGTGACTCAGAATTAGAAGAGTAGTAGAGGCGAAGCTGCAGACCCTTGAACACCGCCGTAGAGTTGCAAGCTTATCTGTATTCTACAGGATATATCACAGAGAGTGTGCGATGGAATTGCATAATTTGATTCCACCTTCCCCTTTCCATCTTTGGGAGACTAGACGTGGGCAGAATTTCCACCCCTATGTTGTGGATATTCCCCAGATTCGCACGAAACGTTTCGCTTCCACATTTGTATGGCGAGCGGCTAGGGAGTGGAATTCCCTGCCTGCAGACTTGTTCCCCGAATGCTATAACTTAGACCTTTTCAAGGCGAGAGTGAATAGGCATTATTTAGGTGTGCATGCTACATACTCCACCTCATCATCACTTTCCATCACGTGAGATGGAGGTGAAATGATCACTTATTTTTTTTATTATAAAATAAATGTCACGTTACACTGTCGCGTGATATCACAATTGTAATATTACTACAGTAATTTACACGTCTCTAACGGTTAGCCAGCAAAACTTTCACATAATACACTCCCGGACAGATAAGCCACCTTGCATATTTATTTTTAAGGGCTAGAATACAAAAATGTTGTTTATAGTTGCCAATACCGTTTGGTGCAACAACGTCATTGGCAACTATAGTTGCCAATGACGTTGACAAAAAACAGTTCAGTGGCGGTTTTACAAATTCAAATTTTCAACAAAGACGTATGTATACCAGCTTCGAAATAGCATTAATAGTTTTTGACTAATCAAATATTTTTATTAAGCTTAGAGCATTTAATACTGAAAATGCAAGGTGGCTTTGTGTACGGGAGTATATATATTAAAAAGGGTACGTCTTTATCATTTCAGCCATTTACAGTGAGGTATTTCAAATAACTATAGGGTTTCAGTTAAAAACGAAAAGCAGGTTCTCAGTAATACTTAAATAGAAATATATCCATATAAAATAGTAGTTTATGTGGCTGTTACGTAATGAAAGGCATTAAAATACGAGTGTGGGTTTCAAATCACACGAGTGTTTTAATGTCTAATTATGTACAGTTACATACACTGCTTTATCTATACACATATTATAAGCTCTCTATGATGTGTTCAGGAACAGCATGATACGACTGGCAAAATGGCGGCAAATAAAAATTTTTCTCACGCATGTCATACAACGACAGTTTTTATTTAATTCATAGACAAACTAAAGTCGGCCCCAACTATCGTATCGTTCGATATCAAGTAACGTGTGAAACTCGTCAACTACTTCAACTTTTGTACCTATGGCTCCGTCGTTTTGCCCGACGATTTCGCCAACGTCAGGGTTGAAAGACACGTAGAGCGGTGGTGAGATAGATTGCCGGTTATTAAAATATTTTTTTTTAATGACATTACAAAAATATAATTTAAGGGCTCATGTTATTTTCTTTCTTTTGCAAACATTTTAGGAAGTTTTATTTAGCAGGAAATAAAAAATAAAATGGTTTAGTAAAAGAAAATTAGGCATCGTTTTCGTTCAGTAACAAACTTTTGACCTGGGTCAACGTGGAAAATTATCATGGAGGGTGGAAAAAGAAATAAAATTATACGAAAGATAATGGGAGAATACGGGAAGAATGCAGAATATTCTTTTTTTTTTTAAATGAAGACTGTTCAGAAATGGGATTTTTTCTCCGACTCATCATTAGTTGGGACAGAAAATTATGAAATGAATATCGTCGAGCGGAGGCTATTCGGAGCTGGTTACAGATTTATGTTATTAAGTTTTAGAAATTTGTATAAAGTGAAAACTAGTGGAGAGTGTGCGTTGGCTAGGAAATAGTTGATATTTATTGGGCGAGGAATATTTTCGGGAAGCAAATCAAAATTGTTTGCTATTGACATTTAATTTCGAATAAAACTTCATCTTGACTGATAGTACCTAGAGTTGAGGTCAAATAAAATTGTTTTGTTTTTCAGACATGTTCGAAATTTGAATGTCATAATAAAATCGAATTCGATGTTAGAAGCAAAAATAACATTTTCACAGGTAGGAAATTTGTTCTTTTAAAAAGAGTTTTTCTATGTTGCGGTCTGTGTAGATAAATGATGTATAAGATTAGATATTTTATTCTTAATAAATTCGTTTTGGACATTCAGCCTGTTTTCAGGATTTTATATTATCGGATAAAGTACAGTCAAGAGCACGTCAAGCTTGACACTTTGTACTTTGGACCGTTCTTATCGTAAGCGGAATAGAGTTGGATTTATGTCTTAAGTGTCACGTGCTCTTAAGCCTGTACATCCTACTGTGTAACACATTTGCACATTCTTTAGACAATATCCATAGGTGTGTCGTATATTTTTTGTAAGACCGTTTATCAGTAAATACCTAAACCATTTGATCTAGCAAAACAATTTTTCCCGCTTCCCTTGCGGTGACACGCCTTAAAGAGGCAAAATCATCGTTTTAGCATCTATCTATTTTATCGAATTGCTCTGGGTTTTTCTCCACATTAGGGCTAGCACAACAGGGCGCGACTTGCGCGACAGCGACATGAAGCGCGAGATACTGCAATTCTCGCATAGAGATCCCGCGCTTTATGTCGCTCTCGCGCAAGTCGCGCCTTATCGTGCTCAGTGTTGGGCGATAATCAATTAAATTTAAATCAGAAATTCAATCAGATTAAAAAATAAATTCAATTGAATCAATTGCAATTGATTTCAATTGGGGGGTCGGTTGGGGGGTCGGTTGGGGTGTCGGTTGGGGGGCCGGTTGGGGGACCGGTTGGGGGCCGTTTGGGGGGCGGTCAGGGGTGAGTGACCCACCCCCTAACCTAACCCACCCACACACCCGCTCACCCATCCCCTAACCGACCACCTAACCCACCCCTAACCCACCCGCCGACCCACCCCCTAACCCACCTAACTCACCTCTAAACCCCTAACCCACAAGCTAAAATACCCACCCTCTAACCCACCTCCTGATCCACCCCCAAAACCACCCCTAACCCACACTCTAACCCACGCGCTAACCCACCCCTAACCCCCAACACAGACCCTCACTCACCCCCTAACCCCCACAACCCAAACCCTAACCCACCCCCTAACTCACACTAACCCCCCCAACCCAAAACCCAAACCCTAACCCACCCAACCCAAACCCTAACCCACGCCCTAACTCACCCCCTAACCCACCCCCTAATCCACCATCTCTTGTTTAGAATTTTACGACACCACCACCACTTGTCGATACTAATTCGACATCGGTGTCGGCGGGGATTTGAAAAGGGATCAAATCTTAAATGTTCCATTTTCAATGCTCATTATGTTCGGCGAGGGAACCGTATAAGACTAGAAATAATAAAATAGGAGACAAATCGATGCGCCCATTGTAAAATGAAGCATTTCCCACAAAAAGTGAAAATGATCAAATTGTTAGTTTGGCCCTTAACTTAGGACCCATCGAAATATAGAAATAGCTACCTGTTCAAAGTTTCACGTAGATGGTCAATGTACGAATATGCCTTTTCGACATTTTGAAGAATCTCAATTTTTCTACTAAAAGTGTATTGTGTTCCAGATAGTTCATTCTCTGTTTCTTTACTAAAAACAAAAATATAATTATGTTCAACCAATAACAATACCGGAGCCGGAGCTCTTTAAATAACAAATTAAATTGTTACAAAATGCCTTACCAAAACGATTGGACTTTCAAAAATGCTTCTTTGATTTCTAAAAACAGCCTGCTAAAAATTGAAGGAAAATTGTCATTAGCATTTATATCTAACTTCGATCTTTCTGTATTCCCTGACGGTTTGGTAATTGCCAAATTAGTGCTCTCTGCATCTACATTAACGGCTTCGTTATGTACCAATTCTCCATTGTAACATTCTTCTTCTGAATAGTAATCATCGTCCATGAAGTCATAGTTTTCTGCTATGTCTTCTGAATAATCCAATTGATCCATATCTAGAATTTCCCTGTTTTTATTTCGTAATTTCTCTTCAAATTCGGGACACTTGTTAAATGTCCTAACTATTTTTAAATTACTAGTTTTGAAATTATTGTCTTTCGAATCCAAATGGCCATTATCACATTCCTTTTGATGGTACTCGTTGAAATCATTTGCTTGACTTTCACATGTCTGTCTGTTAATATAAGGATCACTAGAAACGTTTCCGTCTTTTTTACTCAGTATTTTTTCCTGGAGATGCAAACTTGTGAAAAAATTACATTTAATGTCGATATTTTTCATAAAGGAAACATCCTCGGACTTTTTTGGGGTTACTTTATTTTGTTCTCGAGTTTGTTGCTTGTTAGCCTGAAAAATATCAATTGTATTACAACTACATATTACTCATTACTATTCGCAATTAATAGATTCAGGCGTTACTTTGCGAAGTCCATATTAATAAAAATGGAAGTAAATTAATTTGCTACTCCGCGAACCCAGTGAAGGTTAAATCGTGCAAATTGGTGCGCTTGTATTCAATATTTTTTCATGCAGTTAATTATCCCACCCTCCCATTATCTCACTCTCCACCTTTATTACGGGTATTTTCGGGTTTCAACAATAGCAATACTGGGGGTAGCGGGGTATAAATACACCAACCGTTCTGAACGAGCTCACTCTTCGGCCGAGAACCCCTGAGGATGCCTCGTGGAGAGGCGAAACACGTGTCGGGTATATTTTTGTGGTGGTTTGTGACTGTAGTTGCGCTTGTGTTATTTATTTTATTAATTTTATGTGGAGGGAGGGTGGAATAATTAACTGCATGAAAATATATTCAACAAGCGTAGCTATTTTGCACGATTTAACCTTCAATGGGTTCGCGGAGTACCAAATTAATTTACTTCCATTTTTATAATTACTATTCGTGCGTATTCTGAGTTCATTAATGATCTCACAAATATTCAAGAAATACCTGATCTGATTTTTTATCGTTCGACCGGAGATTATATATTTGTACGTCATTAACAAGGTCCTTGGGCTGTGACTTTGGTTGTACTTCCACACCAATTATTCCTTGATGAGTATCATCTTGTATTTCAGTAGCTGGAGGAAAAAGTATGATTCGTAAAGGTAAGAATATTGCACATGTATAGCATATTGATGCTATGCACTTACTTACTTACTTTTGTATATTAATAGAAAAGCCTAGATTTAAGATCTACAACCTGAGGAGTACGCTAAGCCTCAATGGTTAAGATGGACTCCTAACTTAGATCTATTGAATAGATAGTTCCAGTAACAGTGTCAAGTGGGAATAATACATAAGTACAACTGACAATAGTAATAATATATGTACGTAACTGACCTGCCAGTTAAAAATATTTAAATATTTTTAAATAAAATAATTTGAAATAAAAATATTAATCTACAATGTAGAAAACTAACCAAAACCGTAATAAGAAAAGCGGTGCAGACTAAAAGAAAAGGTAAAAAGAATGGCGAGCTCCCATATAAATTTTAGTTGACAATTTGTATGCGTCCGTTTATGAAAAGTACCCATGTGAAAATAAAGCGTTTAAATAGGAAGCTGAATGGTGCCGTGGGTTTGTGGCGTAAGTTCAGAGGTAAATTATTTTTATAAGGCTTAGAATAATAACGCATAGAATGATAGTTTCATATCAAACGAACTGTCACAAGTGAGGCAAAAATCATATTCAAGTAGGTTAGTTTTAGTAGTAGGTTAATTTTCGGTTTTAGTGAATATTTATATAAAAATACAAGTTGAAACGCGTTACTTCCTTGTGGAATGTGATGTTAATATCTATTTCATGTGTGTCTGGCGTATTTTTACACTCATTTACCGCACATTTCGTCATTTTTAGCTAAAATTCTTGATCTGTTCGCGGTGCAAGTTGACCTTGAGCACTGAAGGCCCGCCCGCTCGTGTAGGCCCTTTTGGCGCGCTTCAATTTGCCTCACTAAGCGTGTGCGGACTAGGTTTCTATGCGTTATTATTCTAAGTTATAAGGTATAATTTAATACAATGAGTTTATACATACCATGCCCTGGTAACCAAGGCACAATTTTTTTTTATGAAACGGCATCTGTCATGATATCGGGAACTTTTTGTCTGTTTTACCATTTTTTCGCGTGGCATATTTGGAGAAGTAATTATCTACTTTATTTTTTGTAATAAAGTACTTAATATCTTCAGTAAACTTGACATTATGTGGACTAACTTATGTGGTATATACACTATAATACCTATGTATCATTAGCTCGCTTGAGTAATACCAGTGAATAGTCGTATATTTACTGACTTATTTTGAATATATCGATTATTATTTATATTATGAATCTAAATTAATACTCATCACAGTAGTAATGGTTTAAAGTAAAATTCAAAGCTATACATATTGAAATAAAAATAACTTTATATTAAAGTAGGTTCATATTTCAGTTTATAATAATTTGTACAATTATATAACACAGACACATTATCTTTCTCTCTAAAGCACGCGCACAGACACAAACAGACACGGACACACGCACGCACGCACGCAAGCAAGCAAGCAAGCACGCACGCACGCACGCACGCACGCACGCACGCACGCACGCACGCACGCACGCACGCACGCACGCACGCACGCACGCACGCACGTGAGCAGTGATGTCAGCATTACTGTGTTCCAGTTTTGAAGGGTAAGAGTGCTGGTGAAAATACAGGCACATAGAACTTGTCAACTTATGTCACAGGGTGACGGGCGAAGTTGCAGTGCCCCTCAGATCTTTGCGATTTAAAGTTCTGAGTGGCACTTCAACTGTTATGGACAAGCATGTAGTTTACCATCAGGCGCACGATTTCTTCGTCGTGTCACTTGATATTATTTTAAAAAAACCATATTTGGCGGATAGATGTCGTTCAGCGTTAAAAAACTGACAGTTGTAGATATCAGTCCCGTTACATAACTTAGACATGCCTTTAATATGATTTGAAAAATCTAATGGATTGATTTATTCAAACTTGCTAATATGACGTTTGAAGACGCTAAAGAATTATTTTAACAATAATTTCGCCCTTGTTCTATAATACAAAATTAAGTATTCATTAATAAGTGCTGAACAATGCAAGACTTTACTTACGAGATGGTTTTTTATGGCTCTCCAAGTGTTTATTCTCACAAAAAGTGTCATTATGAACATCTACAGTAGGATTCCGAATGTCATTCAATAGATTAGACAAAGAATCTGACGCGGTTTGAATATCTTCGCAGTTCAGAGACGTCGACTAAAACAAATACAATATTGAAAAGTGATTGAAGTTATACACGTAACATAAGACATTTTTTTGAAATGAAATTTACCTGCAAAATGTCAATCAGATAAACTCCATAACTATACATTTCCATGTAATCTTGTGGGTTCAAATCCAACTTAATTCGTCCTGGAAATAAAATAACATACATTTTCTAGTAGTATTTTTAGACTTGCACAAAATATAAATGCGTGAACCATTACAAACTGAAATAACTCAAAGGCCTAAATTGCTTATTAAAGATAAAGATAATACATATTTGGTGTAATGTTCATACCATTTTGCAGACACATACCTCCATCACTTACAGTGTCAAGAACATTCAACAATCTACTGGAAGCGTTCACGACTTCATGGTTGCCACGGAACGTAATTTTAATGCAGTGTGCTGCTTCGTACAGCGTCCAAGGCGGAGACATAACGTTCTGGAGGATCCGATGATCTCGCTGCAACAGCTGCGTCAATGCCTCTTCCATTATCTGCACGAATCTTGATACCCATTCATCACATCTCATTCTCAAACTCTGCTCCATAATCCGATCTATCACATTAAACATAATGTTCTGCCTCATTTCCTCCTCATCACATGTCACTTCGTGTTGTTTCACACTTTCACTTTCCGAGTCGGCATGGCTTGTGGTGTTCGATATTACACCAGATGTCGACGTTTCTTCTATCACTATTTTCTCATTTATGTTTCTGTGAATAATAACACTACTAGTTTCACTTTCTTCAACAATGCTATCACATAAAGTATTGATTGCTTGATTGATTGACTCAGTGTTTTGTATTGACTGATTTCCTTCCCTCGACACTGAACTAGCGTCTATGTCTGCGTTTAACGAATCTTCGTTACTATTATCAAGATGCGAATAATCAAAAGTTGTCAATTGAGCAACATCTGCATTTGTTTTAATTATGTTTCTTCGTTTGCGCCATTTAAACTGTTTCTTTTCAAAACTACTATGGCTTGCTTCAGTATTATTGCTTTGATTTATTGTGGTTTGATGTGACGTACTACGTACTAGCCGTCTTTCTTTCTTCAACAATGGTTCACATTGAGACGTCATAGTGCTGTTTTGCGTGTCTGAAGACAAAACTGTGCTTACAGACTTTTGGACATTTGGTTGAGGGGGTGAGGAGGTAAGTGTCGTAGTGGTCGGTTGGTCAATTTGTATAAGCGTTGTTTCTGGTGAACTTTCTGTTTGAACAGCAGCATCGACGGTTTTCTTGATGTTTGGTTGAGATTGTATTTCGTCCTTCGCGGATAGGTCTGAAGATTCTATATTATTTAAGCTGACATCATTATTTTGATACTTGCATATATTATCATCTGGAGCCTGTTCGTTTCTATTAATTATTTCAGAGGTGACTTGAATCGGCGATGTCATCAAATCATTGGCTATTGTGATTTTCACAATTTTTTCAGTAAGGTCAACAGATGCTTCATGATTGTTTTCCGTCACCGCTGACGTGACAGTCAAAAATTTTTTAATTTCTTTTATGGTGAAAATTGGAATACTTAAAAGCCTTTTGATCTCCTGTAATTCCTCATCATTTGTTAGAAGAACCTTCAAAAATAAAATAATAGTTTCTTTTTTAACATCCCGAAACGTTGCAGTGGATAAGCAATAAATGGGACGTAGAATGGTTATTCGGGCGAATAAGCCCTTTTTACCCGAAACCATAATATACTCCCGGACACATAATTCGAGCCACCTCGCATTTTTGTCGTAAAGGGCTAAAATACAAAAATAGTGTTATTTATCATCGAAGAAAAAGTTTTGCAAATCCAAATTCCCAACTATGACTTATGGAAAACACGTATAGTATACTGGTTTCAAAATTGCATAATAGTTTTTGATCAATCAAACACTGTTTAAGCTTAGGGCACTTAATACTGAAAATGCGTGGTGGCTCGAATTATGTGTTCGGAAATATATATGCATAATAAACTAGTCTACTGAAGTGTACAGAAGAGATGCAAAATGAGTACAATATTTACCACGTGATAGTTTTGCTGCGTCAAATTTGAACAGCATCTTAGAATGTGACAATTCCTTACAGTGCTGTCTTGGGAAGGTTCACCTGCAAGTAGTACCGTTAATAAATATCTGTGTATTAAATTAAAAACTTATCCTGAGTCATCTGCATGCCAAACGCGGCCAATACAGCAAATACAGCTCCTACTTTTGAACAGACCCTGTGTCCAGTCACTCTCAATTGAGTGGAAGTAGATATGGAAATATTGCACAGTACCTAACAGGCAACGACCACTTTTTAAGAGCTCCGAGACGAACAGGACTGCACGTCGGCTGCGGTTCGTGGAGCGCGGCATACCGCAGCTAGTGCGGGCTGCCACTCGCAACTCATCCATGATTTCACGCGGCACCATAAGTTTACATCGCTCATCTGAAATACAAAGGAGAATGCATTTAGATAGTTTTCATTTTGAGACAAGAACATGAGGGATATTTGACATCTTAATGGAGTCAAGGTTCAATTACCTGAATTAATCAAAATATCCAAAAAATTAAGGTGGTTCAACAAAATACTCTGGTCAGCAACAATGTACCATTGTTCAGGATTTGTGTTTGAACCAGCTAGTTGTTTTAATTTAGTGAAATCCAAATCCAATGTTATCCCTTTCCTTTTGTCCTGTAATAATTTTATAACAATATTTGCAAAACTCATTAAATAATTAATAAAAAAATTAAAAGCATTTCTAAATAAAGCAACGTATATCAATTTCGCTCTTTGTATTCCGTCACATGACTAAAGATCACACCCACAAGTTTTGTAGAAAGGTTTTCTAAATTTGTTGCAGCCAAGTCTCAAATGGACTGTCCAATACAAATTATGCCAATGACATATGTTGTCAGTAGTAATTAGCCTTAATTCCTTTATAAATAGGAAACTGAAAAGCAACTCGCAATACACCCATATTTTAATATACATTACCTCTAAAATATCAACATCAACATCACTTAGGTAAGATGCTTGGCAAATTTCTTCAAAATTTTTGTTACTTTCAAATATGTTATTTGATTCCTCGAAAGAACACTGGTCTCCAAATGCAGTCTCATTGACTAACTCTGTAAATTCAGCGAATACATAAAAAAAGTGGAGTTATTTACCCCCAAACGAGAAAGTTCAGAGGGATGTTTGTTACACAATTATGCAGATTGATTGTGAAAAATATAAAAGAAGAATCAACGGCCTGCAAAAACTATAATAAATGGAGGTGATATTTGTACACTTTATGAGATACACCATGGCTAATTTCCGCCGAAGGTAAAAAGTTCTAATTTTAAATAAACAAGATGGCCGTCATACAAATTTCAATGTCCTCTATCACGGAAACTATTAGGGATAGGTAGGAGGTGCACGAAGGAATGTCAAAGAGGGCAACAGTGGTTTTAAGGCAGTTGGCCTGTAAAAAAATGTAAATAAATTCAAGTTAGCGAATAAAAAATGGCGGCCGGAGAAAATTAGCATGCGGTGGTCATTAGGAGCCCTTAATCATGCTTTGGGGTAGTCTAAGGTTTTTTCGCCATTTTTTTGCCGAAAGACTTGTTCTGATTCGGCTGAAATTTGTGGCATGCGGAGGTTTCTAGGAGTGCCTGATCAAAATTTGTAGTGAAAATAAGTTTTTCGCCATTTTCAAATATGGCCGCCATACAAGCCTTCGCTAGAGTCAGAAAAAAATTGCTCTGATCCCTTTGAAAATTAGCATGTTCGATCAATAGTTAAACGTGATAATAATTTGTGATCAACATTACATTTTCGGCATTTTCAATATGGCCGCCGTACAAGCTTATTTTGGCGGGCTCTAATCCGACTGAGAATCTTAGACTTCGACTGAATGTCTTCAATCATAATTTGGGGTAAAAATTTCGTTTCCGCCAATTTACAATTTTTTAATTCGGGTACTGTACGTGCACCCGGGACGGCTCACCCGAGGCAATAGCCTCTCGAAGAACCGGACGAAGTCAAGTGACAGAGATCTGTGAGAACCCTGTTACACTGGCTGATCTGGGGTCAGAACCTGAACTTGCAAGGTTCTTGTGTGCGCACAGGTTATAGTGGCCTTCTCGTATGCCCTAAGCGTAGGTAGGGAGGGTCACTATAATCAAAACTAACGTATAAAGAGATATGGCGCTTGTTTCCGCCAATTTTCAATATAGCCGTAATAATATACGGCAATAAGCCGTCATATCGAAAACATAAGCATATGTTTTCGATATGAATGGCTATTGAAAAAACTTGCTTTGGTCGGGCTGAAAATTGGCACTAAATGATTACTAGAATTGCCTGATAATAATTTGCTGTCAAATTATAATATTGGAAATTTTAAATATGGTCGCCATTAAAGAGCTATTTTAATTTTTGAAGAATTCTTTTTTTTATTCAAATATAAGTGTGCATTTGACCTGCATCTCACCTGAAGGAAAGTGACGATGAGGTCGACGATGGAGCATGCACACCTAAATAATGCCTATTCACTCTCGCCTTGTAAAGGTTTAAGTTATAACGTTCAGGGAACAAGTCTGCAGGCAGGTAATTCCACTCCATATCCGTTCGCCATATAAATGTGGAAGTGTAACGCTTCGTGCGAATCTTTGGAATATCCACAACATAGGGGTGGAATCTAAGCCTACGCCTAGTCACGCGATGATGAAAGGGGAAGGCGGAATCTACGCGTGTAATTCCATCGCACACTCTCCGTGATATATCCTGTAAAATACCGATAAGCAGGCAACTTTACGGCGGTGTTCAAGACTCGACAGCTTCGGCTCTACTAATTCCGAGTCACATATAAACCACTTGACACGCTTGTCAATGGAATCCAAGGTGGCCAGTTGGTACGTAGCAGAGCCATCCCAAAGGTGGCAGCAGTACTCCATACACGACCGGGCTTGTGCTTGATACAACTGAAGCTACTGTCCCGGTGCGAAGTAATGCCTCACCCTGAAAAGGATGCCAAGCTTCCTGGCTGCATTTTTGACCATGGATTCAATGTATTGCCGAAGTTCAGATTGGACGACAGGTCCATTCCAAGTAGCTGAAGACGGTCGGCTATGGATATATCACGAAAAGTCGGAATAAGCTCAAAGGGACTTCGTTTTTTGGAGAAAGGACACGCCTGCGTTTTGGTAGCATTAAATTTGACAAGATTGGCATCGCTCCAATCGGAGACTGTCTTGAGTGTCAAATCCAAACGGCTAACTATAGACTCTCGACAAAATTGGATTTCCTCTCCACTGACCCTTGCATTGGTCAAGTACCTATCTACAACTGTGCTGTCATCAGCATACGCATAGGTACTTGGAATTAACATATCATTGATATGCAGCGAAAAGAGTGTTGCAGACAGCAAAGGTCAGTAATATGGAATAATACAGCCCATAATATGGAAGCTTACTTAAAAGGCTTACGTGGCAGACCCTGTCAAAGGCTTTAGACATGTCCATAGACACTGCAAGTGCTTCGTCTTGCTTTTTTATAGCCTCGCTCCATATGTGACAGGCATACACAAGAAGGTCCCCAGTAGATCGCCCGATCGTCGGAATCCGTACTGGCGATCACAGAGGAGGTTGTTGTCTTCAAGGTATAACAGGAGACGGCGTTGTTGAGTACACGTTCAATAGTCTTGCAGAGTATGGAAGCGACTGAGATAGGTCTATAGTTGACATGGTCAGCTCTGCTTCCTTTTTTGGGCAAAGGTTGCACGTTTGCAAGCTTCCACGACCTCGGAACTACACCAGTCTGAAGGGAGAGGCGATACAGGCGTGCGAGAACAGGAGACAACTCAGGCGCTCAGTTACGTAGGACTACCGCTGGAATTCCATCTGGCCCGCTAGCTTTATTCACGTGAAGATTCCGCAGAGCTCTAAGTACCTCTTTTTGGCGTATGCGAACTGGCGCCATAGTGCAGCCAGTCTGGGGTAAGGTAGGTGGTAGGTTCCCTGCGGCATCCAGACGTGAACTCTCTGCAAAGAGTGAGGCAAAGAGATTGGCCTTCACTTCTGTAGTATGGGCCAGCGTACCATCCGGCTTCAGCAGAGGTGGCAAAGATGGGTGACAAAAGTTACTTTGGACCGCTTTGGCCAGGGACCAAAAGGATTTGCTACCTGCTGGATAAGCGGCAAGCTTGGTTCCTATGCGGTGCACATGGTCGAACTTGGCCCTACGTAACACGCTTTTGCACTTCTTAGCGGCTATATTAAAAGCTTTCTTCAGATTCCGAGTACTCGGAACTTTGCGCAGTCGAGCATCTGCCCATGCTTGGTACGCGGATAGCTTTTGTGTTTCAGCACGACTGCAATAAGCGTTAAACCATGGACGAGCTTGGGGTCCATTGGGTACATCGGAGTATGGTATGGTACATACCCCAACGCAAGACCTCGACTACAGCATCAGCACAGCACGAGGTGTCTCCTAAAGTAAAGCAAACCTGCCAAGGATAAGACGCAAGTAAATGGCGCATTTCATCCCAATCTGCTAACCTGTATCACCACACCCGTCTCATACCACTAAGGCCCTGATTGGGTGGGGAGTATGCGGATACAGTTTTCACCAAGCAATGGTCGGAAGTACCATTCATACCGTCCGGATCAGTTGTCAACAGAAGGACCAAGCAATTAGCCGTATGAGATTCGACATCTGGTGTCCTATCGCGCCACTGACAAGCTTGGAAAGGCTTAGCGTTAACGCAAGTTTACGTTTCTCTCTCCCAGCGTGATCGGTCAACTGGTATGGGAACAACCAGTTGACTTCTTGATGGTGTGCATTAAAGTCCCCCAGAACGATTGGTTGCGCTGCTGAGTACCTACGCTGAATCTCATCAGACGTCGCACTCAGATATTAGAACAGCTTGGTCGACTCCTGATCTCCACTGTGGGATCGGTAAACACAACAGTACACTATTTGTGTAACTCCTGTGTCTACCAGAAGTCACAAAACTGAAAAACCCGGTGCCTTAAGGTTCTTGAGACGCCTGACACAGATGTCATCACGAACGAGGTAGAAACCTGTGCTCCAGATTATACCCGGGGTAGCTGAGGTACGCCGTGTCGGTCGGACATCTGATCTGCGTCTCGGTGAGGAACAGCAGCTGCGATTTATCGGTTTCAAGATGATGGTGTACCGAATAGAGATTTGAGTGCAGACTTCGGATGATAGGGAGGTGCACTTTTAGTGGGAGGACTTGCAACCGCTGTGTAAACTTGTTACCGTTTCTGTTTTTCATTTCATTGTTTGACACACACACTTTTGTTTCACAGCGTCCGCATGCTACCGTACGTAGGTAGTACAAGGAGGCTCTATTACGAGAAAAGATAGACTCACAAATGTTAAAAATGTAAAGAATATTTCCCGATGTAGTGGAAATAAGATACTTATAGCGGTGTTGTATCTCGACCGTCTCTCTGTTAGATTCCTTTTACTTAGAAGCTGTGCGAAATAGGTTAGAAGTATTTTAGGAAAAAAATATACATAATAATAATGCCAGATAATAACATAAATTTTCTGGTCTCAAACTAGAGAATGATAACTCTGAGTGCAATACCTAGAATACGGACCAGTACCAACTTAAAAATGTTTGTTTCCTAAATTGGCCCCAAATTGGTAATCGGACGCGGTACAAACATAAGCACAATCCCGTAATCTAAACCCGACCACGCGCCGCAAGCCGAACTCGACCCCACCATAGGTGGAGTACAATCTCGTACATACATAAAATAGGTCTACATGTTACTGTCACTTTCAACAGTGCAACACAAAGGCGCCTTCAAATTAGACGCTTGTAGAAGCGCTGCAGTGGCGCATCTGTGGCGCGGCAGCTGCGCCACTACTCATTTTCATACAATCCAGTCAGCAAAAGGGTCGCACGTGTGGTGTCACTGCAGTAAGTCTATAAGCGTCTAATTTGAAATCGCCCTATATGAAAACAAAATTACCTTCAGATTTTCTGCTCATATTCTTAAAATTATTGTGGGTCTTTCTAGCAGATAAAACATTCCTCAAATCATTGTTACTTAACCTTTGCCTATAGTTTCTCGGTACAAAATATTGCTTATGATCTCTTTGGAAATTATTCCTTTTCAATGGACTTTTCAGCATATTGTTTGGTGTAAACTTTTTCCTTGTTTCGTGTGCTTCGCAGTGAGGAGGAAATCTATTAGAAAGAAGTTTTGAAGTACTTTGTACTGGAACTTTATAGTCTTGATCATTGTATGTAACATTGGCAGATGTGTGAGCTTGCTGAATAACAGGTGATGAAGGAGTCATGAACAAAGGAGGAACTGCCCAAATATTGGAATTATATGCAGTGCCGGAAACATTCAATCCCAGTGGTACAGAGCCATACGGTAAAACTTGAGTGCATGCTGAAGGAAAATAGGCAAATGGTTGCTGCATTTGATTGTTGATAATTTGTTTATTGTAAACCCTAGATAGAGGAATCTGTTGGCTAGCTCCATAGCTTTCATGTCTGTGGCTCATTGGTGGCTCCTTTGGCTCAGGACATTCAATGTTCTCCATTTGGTTCCCAAGGCTTTTTGTCAACTTCTTAGCTTTTTCAATCTGAAATACAAATATAAAATAGTATTTACATAAGCACATCAAACATTATAGATTTAGTCAGATAGTTGGACTATGCATTTTTAAGATAAAGAATTTTCCATAATCAATAAAAAAAATGGCACTCATCAGCCATACAAATTACTTGCTGTCAAATATGAAAATTACCTGTAAAGTTGAGAATAAAATAACTTTACTATGGTTTGTGTCATTTTAGCATGTGCCAGGTAACAATCAGTGTGAAAATTGGCAAAATGAAGGTCACTGTGTCAATTTTCATCTCGAAGTAACAATTCGAAAGTCATGTATGAAAAATAATTTTATTAAATTTGACCAACTTCTGCTGTTTCGATTTTTTCTTCCCATACAATAAAATCATACTTATAAGAAACTGAGTCCATTAGAATTAAAGAAAATTAGTCAATTTTATTAACTTTGTATGAAAAATGTTTTATGAAATTGGACCAATTTCAGCTGTCCCAATTTTTTCATCTCGTACAATGATCCCTTCATGTCGATTAGTCGATCAGCATTTAAAAAAATTTGATCAATTTTATTCGTTTTTATGGACAACTCTGCGCACAGTTAAAGAGCTTTTCCACCGGCAAGGCGAGACAAGACGAGACGAAGCTAGAATTGAAATCTAGCCGACCTATTTCCACCAAAAACTGCCATCGCGAGCTCGCGCTAGGGTTATGGATAGTGAAGACGCAGAGCTGTTCAATTCGTCTAGCGATAAACACGCGGCTAGTACCATATCCCGCAAATTCTTATTATTAACTTTGTTGTAATATAAGCTGTTTGTACCCTCTATGATAAAATAAATAATAAATAAAAATAAAAAGGTCCAATCAATCAATCAGCCTATTGCAGTCCTCTGCTGGACATAAGCGTCCCCAAGTGCACGCCATATTGCCCGATCACCCGTTTTCCGCATCCAACCACTAACCGCGACTTTCTTCAGATCGTCGGTCCATCTTGCAGGGGGACATCATACGTTACGTTTACTCGAGAACCTCTCCATCGCTCATCGGCTCTGCGACAAATGTGGCCAGCCCACTGCCACTTCAGCTTGCTACATTTCTGGACGATGTCCACAACTTTAGTCTTATGCCGAATAACTTCGTGCCGGACTTTGTCCCTTAAAGAGATACCCAGCATAGACCTTTCCATAGCTCGCTGAGCGACGTGTAGTCTGTGAGCCTGTTTGACTGTCATATTTCACGTCTCGGCTCCATAAGTCATGACGGTCATGGTAGGACGCATTGGTTGAAAAACCCTTGTCTTCAGACATTGCGGGAGTGGTGACCAGAACACATGACGCAGTTTACCAAAAGCTGCCCAACCCAGCTGCACTCTCCTAGTTATTTCACGCTCGAAGTTGTCTCTGCCTAGTTGCAGGGTTTGGCCGAGGTAGACATATTCTCGGACAGCTTCGGGCGTTTCGCTATTAATCGAGATCGGCTCCGGGATGACGAGCTCATAGAACGAGACCTTAGTCTTGTCCAAATTCATCCAAAGACCGACCGATTCATCCAAACACCAACCTTAATGCTGCCTCATTAGACAGCATTAAGGTTCTTCAGCATTTCCTGCCAATATAACGATGTCGTCGGCAAAGCGCAGGTGTGTGAGATTTTTTAGATTAGGCTATTGACATTGATGCCCAATCCGGTCCAGTCAAGTGTCTTGAAGACGTCCTCTAGAGCGTTTGAGAACAGTTTCGGAGAGATAACATCTCCGTGTCTCACGCCTCTGTGCAACTGGATGGGTCTTGTCTTGTTGCTTTGGACTTGGATGGGCATCGTGGCCTTGCTGTATAGATTTCTCAGCACCTCTACGTACCGCCAATCGACTTGGCATCGCTGCAAAAATTCCAGAGCAGCCCAGGCTTCGATGGAGTCAAAGGCTTTCTCGTAGTCCACAAATGCTAGACACAGTCTCTGATTATACTCTTCAGACTTCTGTATAATCTGCCGAACAGTGTGGTATGTGATGCACGGTGCTATAGCTTTTTTGAAACCCTGCCTGTTCCGGTGGCTGGAAAGCGTCAAATTTTCCGGCGAGACGTTTTGTGAGGACTCTCGAAAACAGCTTATAAACGTGGCTCAGGAGCGCGATAGGTCTGTAGTTCTTCAAGAGAGTTTTGTGTCCTCTCTTGAAACACAAAACCACCGCGCTTCTGCTCCACTCCGGGGTAGTCCCATTACCTATGACGGCGTTGAATAGCTCCTTGAGCTTTCTGAGCACTGGGTCACCTCCTGGCCTGAGAAGCTCAGATGCTAATCCTTTGCCTTCGCCGGGAGCCTTCCCATTATTAAGCTGTTTAAGAGACCTCCCAATTTCGTCTTCGTCCACTTCTGGCAGATCGTCTGTGAAGTGGGGTGAAAGTGTGGCTCTTGGGTCGTTCGTTTTCGGTGGTGGCTTTAGAGCACACGAGGCATATAGACTGCTGTAAAAGTCATCGACTTCTGCGAGAATTTCTGGAACTGATGTGACAGTTTTACCGTCCGAGGTATTTAGCTTCGTCAGTTGACATCTGTACCCACTCTTTTTGTAAAGACTTTCGATCCCCGATTCCTCTCAATAGCTTCTCGTATGAGTTGCGTATTGAAGCAAGGGAGCGTCTAACCGACTTGCGGATGGTTTTGTTGAGATGACGGTATCTGACGAAGCTTCCTTTGGCATCTCGCGTCGTGTCCTCATCAATTCCAGAGTCTCAGTCGAGAATTTGGACTTTCGAGCTCCTCGCAGTGTTCTGAAGTGCCTAATTCCCTCTTCACGAATTACCCCTGCCACATCTTCAAGGTCTTTGTCATCTTTTACCGTGATCTCCAGCAAAGCGAGGCGATTGCTCAGTTCCAATTGGAACGCTTCGGGCCATGCATGGTTTGGAGCAGCGTTGGACGAATAAGAGTTCTCATCATACGGCTTCTCTCGACCTTGAAGTCCATATTTAAGGTACCTCTTACGAGTCTGTGGTCGCCACCGGTATTAAACCTATTGACCACAGAGATATCCCTCAATATACGCTTCTTGTCCGTCAAGATGAAGTCGATCTCGTTCTTCGTTCGTATTATGAACTCTCAAACACGGACGCATGCCAAAATTTCAGCCGGATCGGACCACCTTTTTTTGGGGTACGCCATTTTTAGTCGGCCATCTTGAAAAAATTTTGTCACCGGCAGTTGGCCCCCACCACCTTCTATGATATGAGCATTCCCCGTCCATCCCCAATACTCGCCGAGCTATAGGGATCTGAAATTTGTATGGCGGCCATCTTGTTTTTCGAATGTCCAATTTTTTTTACTTCCGATAGAAACTGCCCAAGGTGGCGGTCAATTTTAGTTCCACGACCCTTCCGGTAGGGTACTTTGGCCGCGCAGCTGGGTATCTACCTGATGCAGTCCACTTCTCGAAGGTTTCGGATTTTTCTGGTACTCACCGGACCCATCCGACGTACAGAGAGAGACATCATGTTTCCGTTGCAGAGTTAATAAAGAATCTATGTAGGCAGCAATACGGTTAATGTTACATGCGCTAAGAAAGAATTGATATTTTGCCATACAAGTTTTAAAAATCGTCTCTTCTCGTCTCGCCTCGCCGGTGGAAATACACCCTTACACGAGGAGATAGTTTTCGCGCGGCCGCCGCGCGGCGATCGCCCAGTTACCACGCCTTCGTGTACATTAATGGCAAATTGGAATTCTATTTACTAGGCAACAACATTTAAATTCCCCTGAATAATATAAGCGCGCGGCCGCCACGTAGACCAATTTCAAGTCAGGCTCGCCCGCGTGGCTAGAACACTCAAAGTTAAATTGGTTGTTAAGGAGTTAACTAACTTGCCGCAGTTAAGTACCGTTTTTAAAAGATATGTGATAGAAATTAGTTATGTACTGTTACCGACAGACGTGTGAAAACGTATTAAAATAATATATACGCGGGGGCACTATAAGTTTCCGGAATGAATAAGAAAAAAATACTATAAATGGTCAGATATGAATTTATTGTTTCTCAAAATATTCTCCGTTAACATTAATGCACTTTTTCATACGAATGAACCAATTTTGAAAATATTTATGCTACTCCTCCACGACAATCTGAAACATATTTTTCATACTCTTCGACAGCCTCTTCAGGTGATGAAAATCGTTGCGTAACTGATTTTTAATTTTTAGAAATAAATCAAGTCACAAAGTGCCAGGTTGGGAATGTACGCGGGATGGCGCGTAAGGTCAACGTTGTTCACCTCCAAAAATTCATTTGTCTGTCTGGCCGTGTGAAAACTGGCATTATCGGGGTGCAAGATGATATGGCGTTAACGGTTATTTTTACGGAGTTTATCAATAACTTCCGGCAAACAAATGCTCGTGTACCAATCACTATACGGTACAACGACTCTCCAAAGCAACATTAGCCATGTCCAGTTTTATTAAAAAAAGAAGCAATCATCCGCTTAGAGGCACTTTGCACTCCGCGCCACTTGAATTGGTTTCGGCTCATCTCGAAAGACCCATACGCTCGGTTGCTGCTTTGTTTTGGGATCGTAACTATAAATCCATGTTTCGTCACCTGTTACTATGTCTCACACCAAATTTGACGTCCCTTCGTTGAATCTGGTAAGCATGGCAATACACTAAGTAACGCGATCCGTTTTTTGAGGCTCAGTCAAATTGTGTGGGATCCACCGAGAGCACAGCTTTTTCACGTCCAAATGTTTGTGTAGTATTGGTTGTATTTGACTCATGCCTATGCCTAAAGATGCCCAAATCTCATGGTATATCACAAGCCTGTCTGTTTTGATCATACGGCACTCAGCATCGATGTTTTTATTGTTCATAGCAGTGGACGGGCGACCATCACGAAATTCGTCACTGAGATTCACACGAGCGTGTTTGAATTCTGCAAACCAGCTATAAATAGTCGTCTTGCATGGTGCTTCATCGCCAAAAGCAGTTTGAAGTCGAGCGAAGCTTCGCTGAGCTGTTAAGTTACACTTAAAGTCGTAGAAAATCATACTACGAAAATACGAGCTACAAGTTAAATCCATAGTGATAGACAACCAATTTCTAAAATGTAAAAAAAAAACAAGTGACAGTCAATGAAACAAACTGTATTCTACAGCCAAAGAGTTCCATTTTCAAATGTTGTAATTACTTTTTAAATATTGTTTATGTAAATAGCCACCTCTGGAAACTTATATAGTACGCCCTATGTAGATGTGCATAAAGCTATCAGGCCTGGAATTCAAGCAATAATCCTGCGAAACTGTGCGCCTGAGTTGTCTCCTATTTTCACACGCCTGTATCGCCTCCCACTTGAGACTGGTGTAGTTCACAGGTCGTGGAGGCTTGCAAATGTGCAACAAAAGAAGCAGAGCTGACCCTGTCAACTATAAACCTATCTCAGGTTCGTATTCTAGAACTCTACTCAATGCTTAAGTCACGACTTGAGTATGATTCAAAGCACTAGAAATCATACTCAAGTCCCTGCCATTAGGGTCGTATTTCCAGTGCTTGTGTTGCCAGTGCAATCCTGACTTGAGCATTGAATAGAGTTCTAGAATACGACACTCAGTCATTTCCATACTCTGCAAGAATATGGAACGTGTACTTAACAACTGTCTCCTGTCGTACCTTGAAGACTACGATCTCCTCAGTGGTCACCAGTACGGATTCTGAAGAGGGCGATCTACTGGGGATTTTCTTGTGTACACCCCTCTATTATGGAGCGAGGCTATAGAAGGGCATGGCGAAGCCATTGCAGTGTCTTTAGACATTTCTAAGGCCTTTGACAGGGTCTGGCATGCAAGCCTTTTAAGCAAGCTTCTCTCTTATGGGCTTCCCACTGACCTTTGCTTGGATTTCGGATTTCTTGAGTGAACATTCGACTTAGGAGGCTATTCTTCCGAACATCGGGCGATAGATACTGGAGTTCCCATAAGAGGGTTCTGTACTGTCTGTAGGCCTGTTTCTGCTGCATATACAAGATATGTTGATTCCAGGTACCTCTGGGTATGCTCATGACAGCACAGTTGTGGACATGTACTTGACTAATGCAAGGGTCAGTAGAGAAGAAATCCAGTTTTGTTGAGAGCCCATGGTTAGTTGTTTGAATTTGACACTTAAGGCAGTCTTCGATTGGAGCGATGCCAATCTTGTCAAATTTAATGCTACCAAAACGCAGGCATGTCTTTTCTCCACTAAACGGAGTCCCTTTCACCTGAATCCGACTTTTCGAGGTATATCCATACCCATAGCCGAACATCTTCACCTACTTGGAATGTCATCCAATCTGAACTTCGGTAGATACATTGTTCCATGGCCAAAAATGCAGCCAAGAAGCTTGGCATGGTGACCAGTACGCAATCTAAAAGCCAAGACCAATGCATTTCTAGAAAGTGCACCATCCACAAACCAGGGCTTTCGCAGTGGACGCACTTGAACAGTGTTGTACCAAATCCCCCTCACTGCAGAAATCTCACCATAGATCTTACTCCACATGTCCATATTTAGCTTTCTTACAAATGGGATGATATCTGCAGCAAGAGGTTTACATGATGTTTTCATGAATTCCATGATAGCCTCTCTTGCTAATTTATCTACTATTTCATTGCCTTCTAATCCAATGTATGATAAAATCCATTTTAATTTTGTAATCATGTTTTCTCAATTACACAATTTTGAGTTACAACAGTATTCGGTTTCCTGTGCAAAATGGATGGTGTTGCTAATGTAAGACTGCTGTGAAGAATGAATTCATTTCTTATCTCTTAAATTGCCCTAGCACACATTTCTGCACGACAAAGATTGGTGGCATAACCCCAAAGCAAACTGCCATGGTCATTAAACTGCGAAAGCAGCCGGTGTAAACCAATCTAGCTGTTCAGAATCTCACCAACCATAACCTGAGATCGCTATAATTGAGACTAACAATGGCAAGATAATGATCAATGATCACAGTTAAATTGCAAGATTAATGTTAGAGGCCAACAAGAGTGTTTACATTTAGTGTTTAGGTACTAACAAAACGACTATAAAGACATAATAGTTGCAAAACCCAGTTGGAGTAACTGTCTGGTCAGCCATAGAAGAAACTTTACAAGAATAAAAAGTGTTTATTTAAAAATGTGAAGTGAATCATAATCAGAATCTTCATGCCACACATTCATGGAAAGAAATTATTAATAATAATTTATTAATCTGGGTAAACTGCCTAATCAGGTATTCATTCCCTTGCATTTTATGAAGAACTATTGAAGATTATACACTCAACCTTTTTTATTCTGAAGTTGTAGGATAATAGAGATTGAATGTTTGTTAACCATCACACAAAGTACAAACCTCAGCATCATTCAAGTTCCAGACAGCTTCTTTAGTCACTGTGTTGAAAAAGTAAAGCATTCCATTGTGAGACTTAGATCGGCGGATTATCCAGGAACTTCCCATATAATTCACCACTTGTTCGGGACCTTTAAATTCTATGTTACTGCTACTTGCACCTACATCCATAGTAAGTTATTTCTAGAAATTAAGACAAAAAAATACATAACGCTGTTTTTAAGACTAGAATTTTAGATGACTCTATTAATTTCTTGTTACGTACAGTCGTGTTTAAGTAACTTTATGAATACATACCAGACACATTAAAACCGTTAAAAGTTGTGAATTAGTCGTTAACTCACAAAATACGGAAAAGAAACAACTAAAATATGTTTATTGTTAGAAAAGTATCGTTCTCATCGTCCCTAACTCACTCTTGGTTGATTGACTTGTTCACGCATCCATTCATTCAATCATACATTTCATTTCATTCTGGGGGTCGTATTCCAGAACTCTACTCAACTGCTCAAGTCAGGACTTGAGTATGATTTCATACACTAGAAATCATACTCAAATTCTTACCATTAGGGTCGTATTTCCAGAGCTTGAAATCATACTCAAGTCCTGACTTGAGCATTGAGTAGAGCTTGGAATACGATCCCCAGACTCGTGAAAATCATACTCAAGTCCTTGCCATTAGAGTCGTATTTCCAGTGCTTGAAATCATACTCAAGTCTGCTCAAGCCCTGAGTAGAGTTCTAGAATACGATTCCTAGGGTCGTATTTCAGAATTCTACTCATATAATATATGAGTAGAATTCTGAAATACGACCCATTATTTGAAGTAAATTTCTGCTAAAAAATATATTATAAGTAATAAATATATTATTACTTATTATTATAAATGGGTCGTAATAATATATTTATTATATAATAAGTAATAATATATTTATTACTTATAATATATTTTTTAGCAGAAATTTACTTCAAACATATTTTTATTTCTATATAATTTGCATCAAAATAATAAAGACCTATATTAAATTATTGTCCGTTAAATTTAATATCCCTAATAAAAATAAACCGCCCCCGAGAACGCAGTAGAAAGAATGAACCTATAGATACAGTGCAACACAAAAGAGTAGAAATTAAAGTTTCCGGAACTAAAACCGGTCTGATATCTGACAACCTTGCCAAAATCACGTCAACAAATATCTGTCAAAATCACGTCAACTTTCAAATTGCTTGAGATCAGAGTTTGTGTTTTGTAATATTCAAGTGATTTCCTTTAAGTTTTTACTGTAAATTCGTAACTCTCTTCAGTCATCATGAATAAGACTATCCGCGGAGGAGCACGGGAAATTATTTATACAGTTTTTATGCCGTGTATAGCGGAATTCAAAGCTGGAAAATTGCTTACGGGTTTGGACAACGTCTACAAAAGAACAGCGGTTATGACCGGTACGTAGACTAAATAATTATTGAACGATATTCTCGATTAATCGTATTACACATTGAGAACGATTAAATGTACATAATTTCTTAGTTTAAATGCTTCATGTTTACCACTTTGAGGTTATATTTTTTCGTTTCGTTCGCGGCATAATTATAATAGCACCAACTAGTCTTAATACTTAATAATAACTAATATCTTTGTTTTAGGAAAATCGGAAAGCACCGTACGAAGAATAATACTGGAAGGAAGTAGGAATAAGGGCAAATTTGGCACACCTGCTAAACATCGCAAAGGCTGCCCTACCAAAGAATTGGACGATTTCGATAAATGTGCAATACGTCAAAAAATTCATTATTTTTATACAGTTAAGAAAGAAGTGCCAACATTAGCCAAATTATTGGCACTTTTAAGGTAAGACATTGACTTTGATGGAAGTAGAGAGCATTTGAGAAGACTATTGAAGGCTATTGGCTTTAGATACAAAAGATGTAAATCAAACAGACAGGCCTTATTGGAGAAACCAAATATTGCCGCCAAGAGGGAGACATATTTAAAGGCAATTATGGAAAACAGAAATTTACCTGATGAGCTTCAAAAGACATAGTATATTTGGATGAAAGTTACATCCATTTTTCTTACAAAATTTGCTTTGGTGTTACAGAGGATATCTCTAAGGCAAGAGGTGGATACTTATACACGCTGGTATAGAAAATGGTTTTGTGCCGAATGCTCTTTTGATGTTCAGTGGCACAAACAAGCAAGAGGATTATCATTCAGAAATGAATCAACAAAATTTTACAAAATGGGTGAATGAAAATATTAATGAAAATGTTATGGATAATGCTCCAAATCACTCTGTTGTTAAGAACAAAGCCCAACATCAGCAAGCAGAGTGGCTGAAATAAAGCTGTGGCTTTCAGAAAATGATACAACTTATGATCCAACTTTAAGAAAGCCGTCTCTATTGGCCTTGGTAAAAGCATACAAGCCTGACCCCATGTATTTTATTGATGAACTTCTAACGGATTATGGCCACACAGTAGTGAGATTGCCACCTTACCATTGCCTTACCTTTGTATTACCATTGTATTACCTTAATCCAATAGAGTTGATTTGGTCACTGGCAAAACGGAAGGTGGCACTACAAAATGTTGGAGCAAAGGATATAAAACAGCTCACTGAAGAAGTTTTCAGTAGCATAACCACTACTGATTGGAAGCAATGCTGTGAGCACGTAAAAGAAATTGAAAGGGAGTAGTATGAACGAGGTACTATGTTGTATGAAGATATTGATCAACTTGTCATACGTGTTGGTGAGGACAGCAGCTCTGAATCAGAGTCACAGTCTGAAGCCGAAGATATTGACATGCAAGTAGGGGCAGGTACTTCGCAAGACTTACGAACCAAGTATTGAGGGGATTGAATACTTGGATTTCGACCTACTAGAATAAAACAAATAAACTATTATTTATACTACTCTCTTTTATTTATGTATTCTCCCAACAGAATACAAGCTTGATAATATCACATACCTAGCATAACTTATTTTAGTTTTGGCACCAATAATATGTCAGTTAGTGTTATTTTTAATCATCATTATCATATATTCACTGTTGTAAAAAGGAAATGTTCAGCTAATAAAGTCGTAGTATATTATTAAAATAGTGTTACATACAATGCTTGTTACACATGCAATAATTTATCCTCATGATACCTATATTTGTTTAATCTGGAAGTCATAAAAAATTATGATCCTAACATACCACATACAAATTATATTATAAATATTAACTCTAGTTTGGTCGCGCTATACGTGTTGCCATGTTTAAGATAGTGGCGCCCTCATTTATTGTCTACTCTTTTGTGTCGCACTGTACATGTATGTACAGGAAAAAAATAGTTCTGGTGTTACCCACCAGGGGCGATTAGGTATGAATTGAGCTGATAACTATATCAGTATTATAAATTGTACACTTTTTGCTTTCCATCCTCGATTTCATTGAATAATGAAAAAAATGTTTAAAGTGATTTGTTTCACTTTAAAAAATTTTCATGACCGTGTATGAGAGTATTTCTGACGTAATTTTAACTCCTAATTTTAACTTTGTTAAAATCCTGACTATTATAGTGCTGGGTCAAGGAAAAAATTACATTTTTTAGAAAAAGAAATATTTTTCCATATTTAAATGTCGACACCTGTGAAAAGTTTAAATTGCTGAAATAACAACGAAAACTATGGACAACCGAGATTTTTTTCTGCTGTTTGCAATCATTTTAAATCTCATTTTTCTCTAACTTGCTTTTAGCTATAAAAAAATATTTTATAATTCACATTAAATAAAACTTCAAAAGATATTTCTAAACGAAGAACATATGAACCTTCGAAACATTTATCCAATATGCGCATAATATTCGTAAATTTTTCAGAAATTATTTCGAAAAAATTTGCTCTATTTTTGAAATTTTTCGGAAAATTACCCAACAGTAACTATTACACATCCCTATTTCTTAACGGAGTACCATTTAAATAGTGTAAAAGAATTTAAATCATATTTAAATACCTTGAGCACACAGGTTTACTCGTATAATTGAAGTCAAAATAACGCCTTTTAAAGCATACTGCCAGACATTCTACACAATTAGCCTATGGGTCAGCTTTACTCCGAGCCAACAACTCCCTACGCGTTTTGTATAATAATTATGTTCAGAGCTCTCTTTGGGTTTCCTCGCTACTACAGTGCGTCGGGCATGTTTGCCGATGCTAGTGTAGAGGATTTTCAAGCACTAACGCGAAAAAAGTTGGCATCCTACCTGCGCGATTGCGAGAGAGTTCAAAGTTCTTAAAATGATAGGTGGGACTCCGATCTGCTTACTAGGTTCACATCCTAAGAGCTCAGTCGCAAGTTACTTATTAGTAATCTGTGACCGAGCTCCAATTTGATTTGATCTGACCTAAGGGTGTCGTTTATCGACGTTTCCCCGGCTGGTAACCTGACACCAGATTGCACCGCATCGACAAGTGCAATTCGTGTAGGTTAGTTATTTAGTTTTTATATTATACCATAATAATATGTATGTTAGTCCTTGATTTATAATGGATAAATGTTATACGGGCCATAAGTTGCCGGATTTCAAATAAATACATTTACAATTAGTGGTCAAAATATATTTTTGCAATTTTTAAATATGGCCGCCATTAAAGAGCTATTTCAATTTTTTTTAAATAAACTCATAAGTGCCGAGGCCACAGGCCGAGCAAAGCCCGAAGCGTCCGCACGCCATCGTACGGAGGTAATATACGGAGGAATTGTAAAAATGTAAGGCATACTTCCCGATGTAGTGGAAAGCTATGTCAAAGAGAAGTATATATTGGGAAGACCCGAACAAAGTTCTGCCGAATATCCTGTACTATGAATACCAGGATAACGATAATTATGAGGGGAATATGCAAAATACTCGGACCAAAACCAACTTGTTTCTTAAATTGCCCCAATCGAACCTCCTCGTCAAGCACCCATAGTACTAACCGCTGTGCCACCGAAGAGCATGAGCACACCCCGTAATCTGAACCCGACCACGCGCCGCAGGCCGAGCCCGACCACGCGCCGCAGGCCGAGCCCGACCCCGCCGTAGGTCCCCACCTACCTGTACCCCTAGAGGGCTCATAATTTATGTACGTGTTGTGTGGTTATGTGATTTTTTATTACATATTTATAAATTTTGTTATTATTATTTATTTACATTTGGGTAAGTGTTAATTTATTATGAATTAAATTCGTATTTAGTGAGCATTTCGTGCTTCATCAGTTAATTATTATTTTTAACTTGATCCTGCAACCTGCAAGAGATTACTATTGTCTTTTTTTGTATTTGTTCTTGTGTGGAAATAAAAATACTATTGCGCAGTTACCTACTCGAGGGTAATAAAAAATATCTGTAAGCTTCCTCTTAAAGAAAATCCTTGCTCAGATTAATACATAGCAGTACTGTGACGGTGTGACCTCCTTAAACCGTCATCCCACCTTTTTGTATCGCCTCTCTCCATTCGTATCGTATCGTTTTTTCTTCTACTCATATTTAAGTTTAAAATTGTTCCAATTTACCTCGCATTCTGATTTTGTTTCTTTCCATCGTCACTCTCTACGCGACCGCGGTAGCGAATAGACCATTATTTATCTTTTTGAATCGTTTAGTGGCTATATTTATACAGTTTACATTTTAAAGATTATATTTGTTAAAACCGAATAATAAACCGATTAAATATCTATAAACTGGACTTTCAACGTTTGAATTGCTAAATTTACTAAATAAGATGTTGGGGGATGCGAGGCTGCGGAGGCTATTACTGCAATCCAGGCTACACACCATTACAATCCACCAGAACGCCCCCAGCACCAGCAGCACCTCCACAGTACATAACACAAACGGGTCAGAATCACACACAAAAAAAAACTTATTAAAGGCAATTTTATTACTTTCTTTAAGATTTCATACTACAGTTTATGCCATTTAGTATGATATCAATAGAGGTTATTGACCCTACTTTAATTCCAACGTCACAATTCGACGATTGATGCCTGATCCCTATAAATCTGTCGCAATCTTGACATCACGTGAGTAATAAAATTTATTATGTTACTTAATTATAAAACTTAAAAAAAGTGAAATTGTGGCATATAACTCTGTGCATTTATATATTTTAATATCATGATAATTTTAATTACACAGAATACTCTTTCACACTTTACTGGGAACATTACAGAGTATCGTTTTCACAAATAACATATAGTGATAGTAATGGGAGAATGACTACTATTATGCTACATGGCATTTATAATTATGATATTAACAAATAACATATATGGTGATTTAATAATAATCTATAAATAATTCGGCAAGCTACCCTTTCATCCTAAGTAGATAGTATTAAATACCACAAAGCTGTGTAAAATGATCATAAAAAATAACAATTTTAAACAAGTTATATGATTTGATGAACTACTACAAAGCTGTATAACAATTTTACGCTTTTTATAAACACTATCATATTTAAGAGTCCTATTGCATTTTTTAATTAATGTTGGATTAAAAGTGACAACTTCAAGAAAGTGCGAAGTTACAAAACTTTTTCAATGGTTTTGACATTTGCTGTCAATTCAACATTTAGTAAGAATTTTGCTTTTTTAACTAATGCAGACAATAAAAACGAAAAACTACATACCTAAGTACAGTAGAACAAATAATTTAATTAGTTTTAATTAATTACTCTAGTATTCTTAACACCTTATTTTACCTATTTAAGCCTAAAATTAAAAGCTCAAAAACAAATTACTTAAATTAAAATAATTTTATCTAAAATGCAATAGGCATTAAGCTTTCAGCCTATTTAAATTCATAACTATACATGTATCATTTCTTATTTAATCTTAACAATATTATATCTGAACTCCTATAATTTGCATGTTGCTGTTCCTCAGGTACTTGTTCAATATAAAAAATCTCTGAAATTTTTTCATGAAAGGATTCCCATAATTGCTTTTGTATTTCAGAATCTCTCAACTCTTGTGTCAGGTATATTATTGGTTTTTTATTGAATGTGTTAGTTAGGCTCTTCAAAGTTTCAATTAAGGGCTCTAAAGCCTGAAAAAAAAAACAATTACATACTTACAATAGAAGTGATTTGAATTAAATTATATGTAAAAGCTAAAGCAAATTTTATGAAATAAGCATTAACTTAGTGCAGTGTGCAGAGTAACAGAATCTTAGGCTTAAGTGATACATAAAATAAAATAAATTACCTCTTCATAATACACACAATCAGCCAAAACGACCATATCAAATTCTTCCTTCAGTATTTCAGAAGTGTTGTCTCCCCATATTAGTGATTCAGCTATGGCATAGCCTCCCATACTGCTGATTTTTGTCTTATTCTCATTTATGTTCAAACGTAGAAGCGGCAATGTTTCCGGTAGGTCAGATAATGTAACTTGAGCTCTGAAATTTAGAAAAGCTTGGTTTTGGGAATTACCTAAAATTAATACCATATATTGTGTTCATTTCAAAATATGGACCAATTTCTAGGTTCTCAAGCCAAGATTTGGGAAACCTTACTTTTAAGCGCATTATTAAAAAGCAGGCACAATGATGAACTCAAATCATGTTAAAATATATTTTTTGGATTAATAATAATAAATGTAAGAGGTAGATATATAACATAACCCAATAACATGATCATATAATTAAGTTTCTTACCCTAAAGTAGCAGCTGTAAGGCCAACTACTCCAAGTCCAGAACCTAGTTCAAGAACTTTTAAACCGCTCAAAAAATCAGCCCTGTGTTGGCACATTGTTTCTAGATACTTAGCTAACACCAATGATGCATCCCAAACCACACAATTGACATCACCTTCCAGTTTCTGATATATTTTCAACGTTTTAAGACAGACTTCAATATCGATCTCCCGCGGAAACAAATCGTTCGACTGAAAACTCGACCCTCTGTGGTGAGACATCCTGATTCCGAATTCTACGCCTGATTTATACTTATAAATATTAAAATCAATAATTCATAAATGTTTGTCGCCGCCGCTATGTGTAGTCATGCTATACTTTTATCTCAAAAATTAAATAAAAAAATAGAATTCACACAGCACAGTAGTGCTCACAATGTAAACATTAAGTTAAATATACCAAACTTTGTTTACTAACACTTTGTCTTTTGACTCTTTTTCTTTTTTTCCCACAAGAATTTTGATCTCTTTTTCTCCACAAGAATTCATAAAAAGTGAGTAATGGGACGCACTAATTCTGATTTTTCAGACTTTCATTTTATACCATAAGAATACGCACAATACGAGGCGCTCAAAACAAGTCAATCATGTTTTGACATTGACTTTAAAATTTCAGTTCGGAAATTTTCTTATAGGAAGTGAGAGTGAATGACGAAAAAGTGTGCAGACTTAACCGTATTCACATATAGCAACATCGAGATCATATGACAATTGGTGTGCACTGCACCAAGTCGATTATTTTTCAATGAAAATGGCTGTGAAGATGGTACTTTTCGGGTTTTCTCTTGTTCTATTAGTAATCGGTAAGTATTCTTAATCAATATTGTACAGTTGAATATAACAGAAAAGTTATAGATAACGAATGCGCTTCATTTCAGGCTCAAATGCAGCAGGGGAATTCACAGTGCTTTATAGCCCTGACTCCATCAAGTTTTCATCACAAACCCCAATTCAAGAGAGTGTTCTGAAAGAGGTATTCTCTGCGTCTTTAGGACTATCCGTAGAGGAGGTAAGAGTCATAATAATAATGCCAACAATCATGTAGTGTCATAGAATGTTATAATACCTTTTATGGACATGGAACTTGTTCATTACACCCAGATTATGCGCTGTTAATGAAATATTCAACTATTTTAGGATACAGAATGGAATGGACTTCATATCATCGATCCTTTCAGTACACCGGAGGCTGCCGTTGAAATTTATGTTGATGGTGTTTCCAGCCTTGAGGTAAGGATGTAATAAGTCATTATTCAGAAGCGTTAATATATTATTTTAACCATCTTTGTGTAATTTAGATTGTACATATTATTTCCATATTACAGTATGGAAATATGTACTAATTAAAATTTTTTTTTACTGTGTACCTTAGAACCACTTACTTTAAGCAAATTTTTTTGTAACTACGAAGTATTTATTTCACTCAAATGTGTCCATAATTTATGACATTTTCTTGTGGATTTTATTTATTACAATTATAAATCACAAAAGAGGTTATAGTAGGATTAGAGAGGTTATAATAAAATTATTGCAAGCTGGGTCGACAACATAATAAAAGTCGTGGGTAAAAACCTGTACAGAACTGGAAAGTTGGCAGGAGCAAAAGGAGGCCTATACTAAAAAATGGGTAATACAGAGCTGAAAATGATGATGATAATACATTCATTATCAAAGTATGCTAAAATCGCATATTGCATCTGAATAAATAATACTTAAACACAATATTATTTCATATCAAAATAATTTATACATTTATTATGAATGTGCTTTCTAATACTACCTTTATCCTATAATTTTGTAAATATCACTTTCAGACTCAAAAGGAAAGACGCTTTCCACTAGTAGTTGATGAGTATGAACCAGACACATATAACTCACTGGAGCACCGTGTTAAGCAACGTTTCACTGAGGGGGACAATAAACTTGTTAACATCAAGCTTTCTGACTTCAGCCAGGTATTGCGCTATAACTACACCAAGTCCCATATTTTGCTAAAATTTTTTGAAAATAATCCATTTCTTACCCTTTTCGCCCTATTATAATGAAATTCTTAGTAGAGTCACTTTACCAATACATGTGTATTGCTTAACAATTACAGCTATCTGCATACTCATCCATATTTGGCGATATACCTACTCCAAAAGTTTCCAAGCTGTCTCTGCAACATCTCAAGTACTCCACTGAAGAGGACTACCAGTTTCTCATTGAGCTTGAAGCTCTGAAGGCTATCACTGTTAGAGTAAGCTGCACCTTGTTCATTTGTACTTTGGTCTTTTTTTGTCAGTCTATAAGGCTATCTGACTTAAAGTTCACAGAATAACTGTTCTTGGAGCCTGAAATGACATTAGAAACGACTTTTATCTATGGGATCACAATGCGAATTGCAACTATTTAGCTAATTTATTAATAATATGCTACAACTACAACAATCACCTGCTTTGGAATTAGGGTAGTCCCTGCACTGTGAGTACCAAAGCAATGAAATTATTTATGGCACTACTTATAAATAACACCCAGACCGGAACCCGATTAGAAAACTTGATTTTCCAAATTGATCCTACCAGTAATCAAAGCCGGAAACCATCACATTTAGTGCCCACAGTGCTGCCTGCTGATGGCTGAGGATGTCATTATTACAAACAAAGCATGCATAGTCAATAGCAATGAATTAATATATATATATATATATATATATATATATCAATAGCTTAAATTGAACTTTAAATTCTGCAAGATAATTATGCAATGATGCAAACATAACCTTCTACAATCTTCTATTTACATTTCAAATGCTATACCTTTTATTGTTTAGGTGAAAATGGGTGTCCTGAAACCAGACAACTTGATTGACTTCTACAACTTTAGATTCACTTCTCTGCACGCTCTGTCAGACTTCCATGGCCCCAACTCACTAGCGACTAAGGAAGCAAAGAAACTTCTCAGTGAGTATTGCTTTCTGATTATTTCAGAAATTATTTCATTATCATTTTTATTACTTTGTAAACGAGTTGAGTAATTGGCATTAAATACAAATTGTCTCATTTATCTGTAATAAATAATCGTAGTCTTAACAATAAAAGGTGCTAACATTATTATATCTAAACTGTTATACTATTTTTATTGGCAATATTGCAGAAACTGTAGCACCTCAACTCATATTGTGAAAAAGTCGGTTGATTGACTCGACTTTATAGTGCAATTCATAGACAACGGGATCTTTATTTGTATACATAGACTCTACACATTATAATACCAGCGGGCTGGGCTAGGTGGGTGGCAAAATATGTATGTAAACTGACAAGTATACAAGAGACTCTCAAATTGGTTTTATTTAACTCTTCACTGCAACAATTATCTTATACTTTTAAAGTTATGAATGTATTTTTTTTTTTGTACAGCCTCTGAGATCAAACACTTGAGCGATGCGTTCGTAAAGGCTTATGATGGCTCTGTGGTGGTGGCTGTAGTAGCGACTGACGTAGCGCACACCCGCCGTACTATTCGCGCGGTGCAGTTTTCGGACCCAGATGCTTCGGTAATAAATATAACATAAAGCCTACTATTTCTTCCATATTACATGTTCTACACTTGCAGGTTCATTGTTCTGCACTTGAGAACATCAGTTTGCGATCTTGCTCAAGGATGGCTCAGTTTTGCGGAAGACGCACGTTAGACGAAAGACCAAGACTGATTTTGGGCAACACTATCGTCATATTTTGACAATTATCTGTCACGTTGGATGACTTTCAAGATAATTTAAGACACATCGGCGTGCTCGTAAATAAAATTACGGACGCCTTATTTGTTGTCAGTTTTTGTTAACTGCCTCCGTGGCCGAACGGCTACCATGCCGGGCAGGCTGCCACGCAGAGGTCCCAGGTTCGATTCCCAGGCCGGGAGAAATATTTGTATGGCCTATATTTATTTCTCTCGTGAGTTTGGGTGTAATTTGTGGTTGTCTATGTGTGTGTCCATGGCACCCGCAACACAGGCTTTCCCTAGTGCGGGGCTATGTTCAGTGTGTGCGTCATTATAAAAATAAGAAAAATAAAAAAGTAAAAATTAAAAAAGCATGTTAAAGAAACTGGCTTCCCTCTAGTACGAAGAAATACTTGTTATTGCAAGCAACCTTTGTCCTACAACTTTTGGGACGATTGTTGTTCTTAAAGAAATATTATGCTGTTGATGTTTGGTAGACATAAAATATAAATAATTTCCCAAAAAAGGTGTTCCGGGAGTCTAAATCATTATTTTTTTTGTACAGGAAGACTATTACTCGGGGGACTATCCATGCATCTTCAACATCATCTTTTGGTTCGTCGTCGTGTTGACCTTCACTCTGGTTGCCATCGTTTATGCAATCATGGATATGGACCCGGGCAGGGATTCCATTATCTACCGTATGACTAGCATGAGGGCCAAAAAGGACAACTAAATCCGTTTTGTACTAGATGCAATAACTTGGCGCTGGCATATTATTTGTAATAGCAATTACGTCGTGTGTTTACTATTTAACTCCTATTTAATTCCCACGTTCCAAACGTGAATTATGTGAATATATGGCATTAGCCTCCTTTACACAGTCATTCTATCGCGCGTGATCAGGAACATACAGGATTGCGCGCGGGAAAGCCTACACGCGCAATAGTGCGCGATTACCTGTTTGAAACTTTTTGAACTAACGTTCTTTCGTACTCGATTGCTCGTGTTCGTTTTTGTTACAACGGAAAGAGCGTCCGTGTAAAGGCTAATTTCGCAGGATAGACCGCGTGAAACTGGTGTGTGTTGGAGTGCGCGATTGTACGCGACTGACGTGCTCAATTGCGCGGTCTTTCTCGTTTCCTTCCAACGTCTTTACACGCGCGCTCAATCGCGCACGATTGCTGTATCACACGCGCTCAATCGCGCACGATTGCTGTATCACACGCGCTCAATCGCGCACGATTGCTGTATCACGCGCGATAGTGTCTGTCTTAAGCCCGCTATTCAAACGAGATCTACTTTTTTTTCTCCAAAAATCTATAAACAGGCCTTGGATATGTAGTGCCATGTATATTCGCGAACTTTAATTGCATCTAGTAGTAAAGAAACCTATGTTACAAGTGTACAAAATTCCTTCCGAACTAGTTTAAAGTTCTTGATCATAAATAAATGTAGTGAAAGGCCCGGTTGGGCTCATAAGATCCGTATGATCAGTAGGTTTTATCTTCATATCTGAATTTCTGAGTCATAGCGTCGAATTTTTTAAGTCGTAAAACTGAAAGGGACAAAAAAGTGCATTGAAAACTTACTTGTTGTTGTAATGTGTAAAATAGTTATTTTAGTTGTAAAGTATATAGTTAGTTCTTTATTTATTATTGTACGGCGTTTGTATAATAGTAGCCCAACACTTGTCGTGTCATGTGTATACCTATATATATTTAAAAAATAATTAAATCGATAAATAAACATCTTGTTAGTTTTCTTACTAATAAGTCAGTATTTGGACGATGATGTAGTTGAAATTAGGTATCGTTCAGTGAAATAATTGTTAAAATGTTCTATGTAATTAAATACATTCCCACTACATTAGTACAATTTTATTTCAATAGCCAATGATCTTTACTTTAAAAAAAAATGCTTAAAAAAAGCAGATGTGTTCACGTCGAGAAGATTCGAAAACCAGACGAGTGTAGTTTGCAATCAGTCTGTGTCGAACAGAGACGAATCTATAATTTGTAAAATGGCGTTATTCAAATTTCAAGAAAAATGCGATCGTGTGTATTTAGAGAATGCACTATTTGTCATGTTAAAATAAATACAACACAAGGAATCATAACAAGCGCAAGTTTCGAAAAATATTTACACTATTGCTACTTTTCTGATTATTGTAATAAATAGTTGCTAATATTGAAGATAGGGATAGTAATATTTATTCCTCTAGCGAATGTGGTCACAGAATCTGTGATAGAATTATAAGTGCAGCTATGAACAATGTAAGCGGTAAAGTCATCAATTTGGTAGATGACTGAGTGTATTGTAGTCGGGAAATTTATTTATACAGATTTGTGTGAACGTATGTACGTCTTTATGCTATCTTACAATATACAATATATTTTGCCTGTTCAAATATAAAAAAAAAAGGAATAAAAAAGTCAAATGTTTTTAATACATATTACCAAAAACATCAACGAACTTATCGGTGATCGTCAGGATGGCTGGTCGTCTGTGGCGTCTGGCACTGACTGTATATTCAAGAATTGCTACCTTTTCTAAATAATTGCTACCATTGATATATTCTGAGAAATTAAATGAAATAAATGACCAGTCATCCTGATATCAGGATGGCGGGTCGCCATTTTGTTCAGCATGAAGGGAGCAGATTTTTCAGAATTATTACCAATAATTGCTATCTTCATGAATTAAAGGTAAGCGCTTCCTATCTACATTAGTTAAAAAAATATAAACGATTGAAATTTTTTTTAGTGCAATCATATCGAAGCTTGGTGCTGTAATAAGCTAAGGAATAAGCTTCCAGTGTCGACAGTTAAACATGTTTATAACTTTTGGACAGTGGTGGGTGACTAAATCAAGTTTCTTGCCACTAGAACCGACTAAATGGCAACTTTTTCTGGACTAATTGAATTTAAAAAACTCGAGCATGGTTACGCTGAAATAAGAGTTATTCTGTGGGGACACACCCATAACGCGCAAAAGTTATAACTACAGAAAAATCAGTACAGAGTACTAAAAAAACTGACCTCAAAAGTCATTTATCCCCTAGTTTGCCACCCTTAGAGGAATATTTTCTTCAAACTTAAATGGGACCACATCTGAGGTACCTCTTTCCAACAAAAAATAATCAATCAAAATCGAACACACCTACGCTATAATAGCTTACTAAATCTGACACCAGCCGCTCGCTACGAGAAAAAAGGAACCTAAGCACGCCGTCAGAGAGGTGAAAATAATGTTGCCCGCCGTGTGCAGTGGTGCGGAACCGTTGAGGTTGTAATGTAAATGAGTCTTGTCGGAGACTGAAATTACCATTATTTATTTAGTAAAGTGATGGGAGAACGGTTGCCACTTCATTAGAGGTGGACGGTTCGAATCCCGAGGCGGCAATCACCTATGACCTTTCTAAGTTATGTACATTTGTGAAAGTTTAGTAGCAATACTTTTCGTTAACGGTAAAGGAAAACATCTTGATGAAACCTGCACGTCGGAGAAGGTTCAGAGCCTTTGGAAAACGTGTGAAATCACCAACTCACATTAGGCTAGCATAGCGGAATACGACCTAAACTCTCTCCTCGAAGGAGATCCGTACCCAGCAGTAGGAAGACTAATGGGTTGACGATGATGATTTAGTATTCAAATCACTGACAATCATTCTTTTCCACCCATTCACTAAAAAATAATTATGCGATTGCGACAATTTTTGTTATGAAACATGCCGTACGACCATTTAGATGGGCGTGCAACAACCACTGAGCGCTTGCACTGCCGGCGACACACTCAGCGGTAGTAACTCAAAAAACGCGGATCCCACACACTAAATAAGGCACACAAATCAAAAGTCGAATAAAATAACATTAATTTTATTCATTATTATATTAAAAATATTTTAAAATACATTAGGTAAAGAAAGAAAATAAGGCATTCATTAGTCATTTAACATTAACTCTTTTATAAAAATACACTCGTCAACTCGATTGCAACAATTACGTTAAAAATTATTTTAGTAAAAAAAAGGTACTTACGCATCTAAGTGTATACAGGAAGATTTTTTAATCACTATCCAAATTTTTTTTGGGCATTAGGTATCGTTAATAGAACCCATTTCTGAAATAAAATATGTAGGTCATATTTTCACAATAAAATAATTTTCCCGATCCAATAATCAATAAAGCGTGGTAACCATTTCTAGCGTAAATTTCTCTAGTACGCAAGGCGGCAACATCAATCAACACACCTGCGCGCGCGGCGCGGAGACGGGAAGGGCTAGTTGCGGGGGAGGGCGGAGGGGTACCGGGAGCGGCGACAAGTCACGCACAAAGGTCACGCAGTCGCCCGCGCATTTCCGCCCGGCGAAAGCGTGTTATCTCGTGCGAATTGCGATACATAGCGCAGCCCCCGCGATGTACTCAAACCGCGAATATTATGAAATGGTGCGATGTTATTTATTAAGTGGCGAAAGTTTGAACGGAGCTCAAAGACTGTACGAAGCGGAAAGCCTCCCTCGCCTTCGCAACCAAGGTGTAGTGAATCCTTCGATACCGAACCGTGCCACGATTCTCGCTGCCAATCAAAGGCTGTTAGATCATGGCCAGTTCACTTCTCCTTCACATGCACAAGGGCGTGGAAGGCAAAGACTGCCAGTAGAGATCGAGGAAGAAATCTTCGATTTTTTCGAAAGAAACCCTCGTGCAAGTACTCGAGATGCAGCGAGACGCTTCGAGGTCAGCCAGTACGCCGTCTGGAAGCTGCTCAACACCGCAGGGTTGCACCCTTACCACTTCCAAAAGGTGCAAGCATTAAGTGATGCAGATGCTGCGCCCCGCCGAGCCTTCTGCGAGTGGCTAATTGCGCACCCGACGGCCGTTATAATGTGGACCGATGAGGCTTTGTTTACGCGTGTCGGATTATACAATCAGCACAACGAACACTGGTGGTCATTCCGAAACCCACACATGATAAGGGAAACCTATCATCAAGTGCGTTTTAGTGCCAACGTGTGGGCCGGTATCGTAGGCAATAAAGTACTTGGGCCGTATTTTATCGAGGGACGCTTGACCGGTGGCACGTATCTGGATATGTTGCGTACGGTGATCACGGACTTTGTGGACGAGGTGCCCCTCGTGCACCTGCGCGACTTTTATTTCCAACAAGACGGTGCCCCGCCTCACTACGCCGCCGCGGTGCGCGAATACCTCGGCGCTGAGCACGGCGACCGCTGGATCGGCCGCGGAGGCCCCGTCCCGTGGCCAGCGCGCTCACCGGACCTGACTCCATGTGACTTTTTTTTGTGGGGTGAAATTAAAAGACGTGTGTATGTGGAAGAGGCTCAAAGCCTAGACGCATTAAAACTGCAAATCATACGCGCGTTTGATGAAGTGAAAAGAGACACTGTAGTGCTTAATAAATTGAAAGACAATGTGCAGAAACGTGCTGGACTCTGTTTAGAGAGAAATGGTTTGCATTTTGAACAATTGCTAAAATACACTTAGTTATTAGGATTTTAATCTTTTTTTTTTGTTTTATTGTAGGCAAGTTGAATTTCATTGATTTTAATTATTGTACATTCTAAGTTGATTCAAATTTTTTAAATACGCCTTATTGCAAAAGGTGCTGCCTACCTACCTACTTTGTAAAATTGCCTTCTGAGTAATTTAAACCTACCTACTACCTAGCTAATTTAAACGTTAACGAGTAACCTAAACTACCTTATCACTATGAAATTTAGGTAGGTACAATAATGCCTTTTGCGATCTGACGGTCCTAAGCCCGTTAAAGTATGAAGGAAAAATTTGCAACTTATGGATGTTATTATTTGTTATCAATCAAATGGCGGGGCGGGGGGCGGAAGCGCAATGCGCGGTGACCATTTACGTCAGGATTTTTTTGGATAATTTTGTAATGCCTTATCTCAATATTTTAGTACTGAATGATACTAAAAGAAAAAATACGTATATAATTATTTTCATTGCAGATCATAATATGAAATTTTGGATAGTGTTTAAAAAATCTTCCTGTATAGAATATTTGTTTTATTAATTAAATAAGGACGCAGACAGAGCGCAAACTTCAACGCATTAACGTTTACTCATCTCCCTAGGACTTGTTTTGTAACATGAAAATGTTTAGGCGAATTTGATTACTATTACGTGTTAACATTTTCTATATTCTAAATAATTGTGATTCCTGGTAGGGACACCTGTTATTTTATTAAGATTCTGTTACAAGCTTCGCCCACCGCATCCAGTCGCTAACGGCGCACGTTGTAGTTGTGCGCGCGGCGTAGGCGACGGCGTAGCTCCTGGGGGAACTTCTCGTAGCAGCGCTTGCAGGCCGGCCGCTCGTCGTACTCGTAGAACTTGGTGCGTGTGCTCAACGCCGCGTCACACACGGCGCACGCGAAGTGGTGCACGCACCATGCCTTGTTCAGCGCCGTGAACACTGTGTCAACAAATTGTTTATTTTCCAAACACTGAGATACTAAATGAAAAGTAAAATATACTTCTTAAGTCTCTCACAGGTGTCGAGAACCGAAGAACCCCAAAAAAATCTGTAATGGTGGGTTCACATTTGTGAAATTTGAACGCACCGTGACTTTGTGACATGTCTTGGGTACTTGCTACATAAATGTGAACGGGCTGTGACTATTCAAAATAGGTGAGTATCATGGTAGTAAAACGTCATATCAAATAAAATCAAAACTAAGATACTAGTTGCGTAAAGTCATCGTCGAAATTATTTGAACACTTGTTAAAAAAAGACGCCATCGCTGTTGTTTGAAACTTGAATGAGGATGGTACAGATTAATGACGCACGACACTTACCGTCGCCAGCGATGACCTGGTTGCAGACGTAGCAGAGATTGCCGAAAAGCTGGTGATAGTGCTGCTCGCAATACGCCAGACCCTTCTTCTCGTAGTGCCGATGCCCGTGGAATGGCTTCTCGCATTTCGCGCACACGAAATGCTGACACACAAGCGTACGATTACATTTACAGATACAAGATGACGACATTGCCGGTTGACAGTGAAGTTTCATTGGAATGTTCAAGGAATTCAAAAAACGAACTTGATCTCTTTTTCAAATTGCATTTTATATTTTCTTTGCTTTTAGAGGATCTGCGAGCTGACTTATATTATATTATAGAGATGACCGTACTACCCTGCTAAGCCGAAAGGAGCAATCTCTGAGATACGTCCTTTTGGTTTTTTTAAATAGCATTCAATAGCTATAATAATTTCGCATCTAATGGTATAATAGAAATAGCGCTATCTAACTTAAAACATTTCAAAAACCACTAAGAAGTATTTTTAAATACAATACAATTACATAAAATACAATTTACAAAAAGTCACAAAACTTACTCCAATTGAGATGGCGCTTTTCGGCATATCAGGGCAGGCTGCCCGGGACAATGAACATCTTTTACATTTGTGAAATACAAAAGCCCGGATAACCTCGCGAATTTTACAATGCAGTTTGAATGAATAGTTCAAACACAGTAGCCATACCTCGACATGCCAGTGCTTGCCAAGGGCAGTGACGATACGCTCCTCGATGGGTCGGCGGCAAGCGCCGCAGATCGGGATGCCCATCTTATCGTGGCATCGCAAGCAGAATAAGTTGTTCTGCAACATAGGTCATACATACAATACAAATACAGAGGCAATTTGTAACATTAACAACTTTGCAGGGCTAAAATACAAACAGCGAATTTTATTCCAGGACTTTTAATAATTCATCAGGTTGTTATTAGATCGCTCTAAACGGTGATAACTCTGTGCGGTAACAAAAGAAAGACTGCTCTATACATGACCCTATATAATAAAGTGAAAAAAATTTGCATAAATTAGCTGTCAGATTGTAAAGGTACAATAATATGAATGTGGTACTAACGACATCGTTGGCAGCGTATCCTGGGCGGTGCTTCACTTCGCGTGCGGTGTGGTCGAGCTCGACGCCGCACGTGGCGCACGTGAAGTGGTACCCGTGGTACACCTCGCCACGGAACCGGAGCGGTTCGCCGTCAATCACGCCACTGTGAACACATATTATTACGTCTGAATTAATGAGCCATTACCGATATTAAAAGTCTAAAACTAGTATTCAATAGCAATATGGACAAATAAATATACAAGCCTAATCTGCATACTACAAATGGTAACTCTGAAAAAGTTCCAAATTCCGTCTTATATCTAGATGGCGCTGATTGATTGCCTGGAAGTGGTTACCTATCGGTAGTCCGAAATGACATTTTCCAGAAATAACGTTTGCTCGAATTTTCAGTATTTAGTATTTATTTATTAGTGAACATGCAATAAAATTACATTACATGTGCCCTGTAGCTAAGACTTAAAAATATACTTAGATTATTCTTTATTAGAGACTATTTTCATAGTCTCGAAAGTAATTTTGAGAGGAAAATGTTTTTTCTCTTAAACCTAACTTAACCGAACCTAATCGTTTCTTTGCGATAAACATCCAACATATCTGGGTACCTACTAAATGTAGCACCGTTTGCTATAGGCATTTCATGACATCACATAAAATTATGTACATATGAATAACAATCGATAACTTCATTAAGAAAAATATCATTTGGATAATCAGGTAATATATGACATGAAACTCAGAGTCGCATTCACAAATTATAGACCACATCTAAATGTGAAAACATTTATGAAATATTGTCAGTTATTTTTCGTCAAGATTTCAAGAAGCAAATGATTCGCTTCTTCGCCTTCAGAAATAAGTATCTTCATTTTGTTGCCAAGCTCGTCGACGCTATAGGTGTAGCCATGTTCAGTCAGTTCAGAAAGAGGTAATTGTTGAACAAATATATCATATTTCAGAGAGAATAAAGATTTTTATGATGACTGTGTTTTAAAATTTCAACCCTTCCAGTGATCGGTTTGACTTGAAATCTAGTAGGTTAATGGAAGTACGATGATAGTATAATAAATCATTAATACTATGATTGTAGCATGTAGCTACACGCCTGCGTAGGTTATATCAATTAATATTTGCGTGTAGTAAAACCTCAGCGTATTTGGTAACAAATGTGTGCGTGTAAAAGTAAGCTACGCTAGTTCTCGAAGAAATTGCTTTTAGGGTCGTATTCCAGAACTCTACTCAATGCTCAAGTCAGGACTTGAGTAATGCAGTGAGCACTGAAAATCTTACTCAAGTCCTTGCCATTAGGGTCTTATTTTCAGTGCTTGAAATCATACTCAGGTCTGCTCAAATCCTGACTTGAGCATTGAGTAGAGTTCTGGAATACGACCCTTAATGCCGTTTCCATATACTCCGTGGTTAACCCTAATTATAGCAAGTATAAAGCAAAGCCTAGTTCAATATTCCGCTAGTTATGAAACATAATGTCGATATCAATTAAATATCACATCCCTATCTGTAGATTGTCAACTTTTTTCTTTTGTTCCAAGAAGTTTGTGGTCATAGGATTCTTAACTTTTATGTGACTAGTAATAATAAAACCTCATTAGATCCAAATAAGTTTCAATTCTTTTACCAAAAGTTTTTTATTATTGTCTATTTTCGTTTGATAATTTATAACCAATCAAAATGATGTTATCTTAGTACTAATGTAAGATTACGTTTCCAAATGTGTGCGTGTGGCTACACCAGCTTTGATACAAATGTTAATTGATACCATTTCCATTCTTTTCGTTCTTCCGTGTCTCAAACCAACGCCAATGTTGCCATAAAAACGCAATAAAAAATTAACCCCAATCACCCACCATTTCAATAGCCTGCTTTTGGCGGTAAAAGGCGTGTGTCGCAATATATTTTATAAATTATATTCTTATTCGAAAATAATTACTCGGTACTGGGGGGTCTACTCTCGATCTTCGCCCGACATCTGTCCGAAACAATTGCTGCCAAATAAGCAATACTTGACCAAATGAAAAGACGCGTGATGCGAATGAAGCTTCGTACTTGATACTTGTCTTTTAATTTTGTCGAATATTACTTATTTGACAGTAATTGTTTCGGACGGATGTCGGACGGAGATAGAGAGTAGACCCCCAGGTTTGAGCTGGCAGTCGAACTCCCACTGTAATACACTTGATTTTAAGATTGGGATAGCACTTTCCAATGCTATTATCTTATCTTATCTTTTACTTTAAGTAATAAATTAACTTACTGGCACTTATGACACATATAGTTCTGCAAACCGTCGGCCTTGATGCGGGCATTGCACGTGTGGCAGAGCGCACGACCACCATGTTTGATGAACCCGGCATCTGCTAACTCCACGTTGCACTCCTGGCAGCGGAAACATGACGGGTGCCAGTTTGCATTCATCGCCTTTATCACGCGCCCGATTATGAATTCCCCTAAAACCAAAAAAGAGGCCAAATACATAATTGCAAATACCAATATTAAAATAACATTTTTATAGTCATAATAATTGTTGATTTTTTGTGAACTGATGTGATTCCAAATTTAAAAGTGAAAATAAAATTAATGAGAATGGAATTAAAGGCCTGGGAAGATTCGCATGTGACAATGAAAATGATACCATGTTAATGCACAACTGACTGTACATTTGCGCCCGTGATGTTCACCATTCATGTGGGATTGAAAGCATGTGTCCGAGCTCCGAGATCGATGAAATAAAACAAAGCAAGCGTTCAATTTTGAAAGAGATAGTTACCGCATTTTCCGCAGCAGGGAGCGAACAGTACTTGAAAATCGCGTTCGCAGTATTTGCGACCTTCAAACTCGTAGAAAATCCCGTCAGGAAACACTCGGAAGCATTGAGCGCATCTAAAATAGATAAATTGTCAATGTCAAAAGCATTGATATCGATAATTATGATGTGTTGTAAGACTCGGAATAGATGACGATCATCTAAAATACGAATTTTCGAAATGGAACAATTTGACTTATAAAGAGGTAATAGCCGCCAAGCATTGACCTGTCGTTATTTGAGTGCCGGGGGAGACGCTTATAAGTACTACTACACCCGTCAGTACTACACGACATATTACGGCGGCACCGTTTCCGCAGCAGAGTTTGAACTTATGGAGATAAATGTCGTGCAAGGCGACTATAAGTTTATGCTATAGATGTGGCGATCAACATGCTAGTGAAAGCAGTTTCGCAAATGCAATGTGTCGATACTGAAACAAAAAGGGTATTTGGACATCATGAAATGCAGCTACGTCTGGGTCACAACCTGGTATGATTTGCGCAAGCACACAGAAAAAAAGGAATTCTACTAATAAGAAAGAGCAATTTCTCAGAATATTTGCTAATTCTGAAAAAATATTTATTAAAAATAATAAAATATTGTCACTACAAAAATACTAATACAATTTCTAAACAAATCTAATACAATTTTACACTTAACTTTATTCTAACTTTTAGACAAACACCTTCACTTCAAGATTTTATTTCATTTCTAATCAATTAATTGGACATTACTTACATCAAGAAATTTTTACCTGTTACATCAAATTTAAATAATCTTAAACGAATTCAAAATTTATTTGGTGGATTTTAAGAAAATATATTCTTAAACAAAAAAAGAAGTAGTTTGCTATTCAGATTAATATTCTAAATTCTAGAGTATATTTTTAAAGCAACATTTCGTTGCTTTTACATAGTCAATGTTGTCTTGATATGTCGCCGAAGGCGCAAGCGGTAACGATTACTTTTACTTGTGTTTAATAAAAATCATAAACAGTCATTTATCCAAAGAAACAATACGAATATCTCTAGTTTGTTAGTGTGTTATTAGTGAGTCATATTTTAAGAAATTTGGTTTCAGCAAAGCACAACTCTAACATGCAATTAGTTCCATCGCGCCACTGCTAGATGGCATTAGTTGTACCCTGAAACGCGCTATCGTTTTGTTAACTTCAATAGTATAAGTCACCTCATATATTTTGAGCTGCCGCTGTACCATTTGCATGACACTGAACGGTACAGGCGTATGAAAAGATTCTGTCCTATTTCTGCTACTGTACGGTTTTGGCACTAAACTGTGTGCTTTCATTTCACACTAGACATGTCTACTGGACATGGGGAATAGCGTTACATTTCTATCGCCGTGACTGTCGTTCCGGTTCCAACAAAATCATCGTGATTTTGTCACGACTGTTGCTTCCGTGACCTCGTCACGCCTATAACTTACATCACGATATACGGTTTTAGCCAGCTGCTTCTTTCTAATACATATAGCCGTTTTTAATAGAATGATTTAAGTTTTTACCCCCTATGTAATAAGTTTCAATTCCATTCAAAAAGTTGATTTTGTATTTAATGTAATTTTGTTTGTTACTTATTTAATGCGAATCTTTGGATTGTTATAAATAGCAATAAAGAGTAATGTAATTATATTTCTAGTAGAATACACAAAGTAGATTATACATAAATATAAAATACCAACTCTTTCTATAATAAAACAAATATACAAAAATATTTTACTTTGTTCATAAATAGGTTTATAGTAACCGCTGCAGATTTTTTCATCCGCCCTTTCTAGTAGTAATAAGCACCTACAACCCTTGTGAGTGAGCAAAGAAAGTCATCCTATTTCATTCACTCCCATCGCCGAAATGGCCCGATTTGAAGAGAACTACAAGTGGCGCGCTCAGTCACCACGGAACGGAGATCCCGCATTGTATCAAATAAGTATGTCGTGATGTGAGTGACGGGGATAGCTATTGGAATGGAGGAACACCTATGTGACTTTGGAACGTCGTTCCTTCGGAACGAGTCACGGTGATACTGTTTGACGGCGGATCATCGTGATTTTGTCATCATGACGTTATTTATCACCCACCTCTATTTCACACTATTGAGACATACTGTTGGGTCCATAACCCTGTAAATTTACGCTTTTTGATATTAGAAAACATAAATCTTCAGTCAAATAATTAAGTACCTCTCAATTTTTCATTCTTTTTTTTCAAGTCAAAATCGGACATTTCTACTAACTAATAAATATTTTGTTGAATCTAGAGCAGCTTTGTGACTTGAAGTAAATTAATTTGTTCTTGGATGAATTATTTGTGTCTTATAACTAAAATACACTTTTGAGAGCTACCAATTGAGACATTTTTTTACTATTATCAAGTAATTATTCTCGAGCGCCTATAGGGAGAGGACCGTTTTGTTGGATTTAATAAATTTGTCTTCACAAAAAGAATTTTGTCTTTTTCTAAGTAATCTGTTTTTACCGTGCAGGATTACGACTAAGGGATTTACCGCATTTATCAACGCGGAATCTTGTCGCATCAAGTCGATTCACCGTTGATGCGGCTGTTCGAGTGAAGACGCAACTGCACGACATAGACGCGGTCCTTTTGGCATCTCGACGTGGCCGTTCGGGCGCCAGTGCAGCCGTTTGGGCATCGTTGAGGCAATTCGGGCGTCGATGCTACCGTTCGACGTGGCCATTCAGGTGTTGCTACTGCTAAACGGTCCATTCACTGCCAGCATGGCAGTTCGCCGCGCAGGTAGGAGACTGCTCACACACTATCCTGCGTAAGGCCTACGTATGGAGTCTCGCAGGACGCATTGCAGGATTGCAGGATGGTCTGCACGTTGCGACTACATTTATATAATCCTTCATTACGCGGCGGAGGGCAAGGCGGGCTGCAATGCAGGATAATGAATCTGGGGAGGCACCCAGAGGGTGGTCGCCCTGAGAATGTGCAGGTGGAGCGGGAGCGCCGCCTCGCGGCGCAGCGCATGCGGGACCGGTGGAAAGAGGGCTTGGCGGATCCCCCCTATGGCGCTCGTACCATAGAGGCGATCCGCCCTGTCCTCGTAGAGTGGGTAAACCGGTCCCACGGGCCACTGTCGTACCACCTTGTGCAGGTGCTGACCGGGCACGGCTGCTTCGGTCACTACCTGCACAAGGTGGGTAGGAGGGAACCGTCCCCGTCGTGCCACGAGTGCGGCGCTGCGGATGACACCGCGCAGCACACCCTAGAGGTGTGTAGCCGGTGGGATGTGCAGCGCCGCACTCTGACGGGGACTGTAGGGCAGGACCTCTCGCTGCCGAGTGTGGTTGCCGCCATGCTCGATAGCGAGGAGTCCTGGGAGGCGGTGGCCTCCTTTTGCGCAGAGGTTATGTCGCAAAAGGAGGCCGCAGAGCGGGTGCGCGAGGACGCGGCGCAGACGCGCACCCGCTCCGGCCAGGGACAGGGCTCCCTCGCAGACGTACGGGGAGAAGGCGAAGGCAGTTCGCTGCTCGCCTGATCCCCTAGTGAGACCAGCGGGACTCCGGAGTCTGCATTGCACGGCCGGACTCGTCTGGGGGGCGGGTCGGAGGACAACCGACTCGCCCCTCCGTTGGCGCGGGAGCCCTGGCGTAAGCTAGGGCGGCCGGGCGGCGTCGTGGTGAATGTTCACTGATCCCACGGCGCCGACTCGACCGGCGAGAGGGAAACCCGGGGGGGGTTTTAGTGGGGTAGGCCCTCCAATCTGGAGGGAGAGTCCCCACATAACTCCTGAGTCTCCCTGGGCTCAGGGGTATCCATAAAAATTTCCCCCCCGTCAAAAAAAAAAAAGGATAATGAATGCCTCCTTTTAGTGCTTCGACGCGGCCGTTCCGGTGCCGACGCACATCGATCAGCCGTCACGGCTGCGTTCGGACGCGATCGGAAATACGCAGTACGTCGTACGAACCGATGCGAAACGCACAACAGCTTTTTTGCTCCCATTTCATGGATATAAAGCTTTTTCTGACCAGTCTAATAGGATTCTATGTCGAAGTAAGGTGATCGACTGACTCTCCACACTTATCGACATGGAATCATATTATTGCGAATTCACTAAGCAACGTGTTGAATTTACTCTTCGCAATCGGAAGCTATCACACAAACACACCTTAGCAAAACAGCCCAGAAGAAAGGAGTTACATTGTTTGGATTGTATATTTTTATGGAAGGTTCATACCACACAAAGCAACAATGTTAGAGCTACTGCACAGATTGCTCAATAACACACAGCTTGGCAATGGAGGGAATGAACAAAGATTTTTTTTAGGCAAAACGCTTGTTAACTTTTGATTGTTTGCCATATGAAAATGAAACATTTTCAATTGCGTTCCATTGTAATGCAAGTTTTATATTTCAACCTATATATTAGTTGATATTAGTGTATATTAGTTTTTTTAAGAACATATTATGAGAGATATCCATCATAATGATCATATTGATACAAATAGCAGATATGCTTCCAGCATTAACCAGCCAAGTAAATTTAGGAGATTTTCTATCACAATGGAAATTAAAACAGAGGTGACACATTCTCTTGACAGCACCCCTATATCTAATATAACTTGCAATGACAAATTTGAATAATTCATCAGAACATTGTGTATCTTTCATTCCAGCTGCAAAAAAATCATAGGTAAAAGTTAACACTTACACAAAGCATCCTGTATGCCAAAGCTCTCCATTGGAGTTGACGATTTTCTCATTGGGCTCAAAGCCCTCACTGCAGCGAGTGCAGAACATGTTGTCCAGAGACATTGTTGCAATGCTGCAAATATTCAGTACTTATTTATAAAACAAGGTAATAATAATAAAGCACATTGTACACACAAAACTGAATTATAATGGGTTAAGTGTCAATTTAGCTGTTTTAAGATATCCCTGAAGTAAATTGTTAGGGAGATCATTTAATATTGAACAAACTGGGAAATGTTACATGTTCTTATTCAATAGAAAATATAAGTTTTTTTTTTGCAAAATATACAATATCAAAGAACAATTTGGTGTCTTTATATGATGTGATGTGAACTGTATTACTTCTTTTCTTGACTTCTTGACTTTTTGGAATTGTCATTAGATTATCTTACAATTAAGGTAGCAGTCCTTTGTTTAAATAAAATCTACGGTTCAATCACTTCATTTTTGTAATATTATCACATCAACAAATTTTTGAATTAAAATTGGCACATACATTCATGTTTACCTGTAAAATATATTTTTCATTATATATAATGAAAATGTCCATTATCAATTACATTTCAAAATTACAAATTAATTAAACACATTGAGGAATCTACATTGTAGATATGCAGATTTCGTTGAGAAGGAGTATGAATCTATAGAATATCAAGTGCACATTATAAATAGATATTTGTTCACATTTATCACTTGATAAGATAAGATAAGAACTATTCATAGATAGCAACAACTTGAGTGGACTAAACAGGTCCATTCCACAGATTTTTGTCATCCAAATAAACAGAAACAGTAATTAAGTTTTAGTTTGTCACTGGTTTGAAACTTTATAGTCAGTTAACAGGTAATACTCACTAACTCCCATTTTGCTAAGAACGGAGATTTTTTTTTTTATTTAATTTGGAAAGTCCACAATGTCCTGCATTATAAAACTGCATTTTGAAAAGTTTCAAATTAACAGATACTAAGACTATAATCCTATACACCATCATGACCTACTTTACTCAAATTGGCTTTTTAGTGAGTGTTACCTTTAATTGGATGTTACAATAGACAATTTTTAATTTCAACACAGATATGGTTATACAAGCGTTTACATTGCCCCCTAAATTAAGAATAATAATTTATTGTACCAAAAAGCCTTGTAGTAAGTACAGTACACTTGGATGGTAAGTAGGCACCAAGTATTGCATGTTGCTTGGGTTTTCCCAAGGCTGGTAACATAAATTAATATAACATTGATATGTGAGTTTATGGACTTGACTGTCAGAAAGTTTATTTTTAATGCCTTGCATTAATAAATACTATGCCTATTGTTATTCTTCATTTAAAAAATAATACTTCTCTTTATGTTTAAGTAAGTAAACAGAAGTTTCATCAAATTCAATAATGTGTTTTAAAGAAATCATTAAAATTTCTATTTAATAACGAAAAGTATTTATTTAATCAATAAGAACAGAGAATAAAATGTTTCTTTATAATAGGGCTTTATTAGTACATAATAAATGATATTATTAACATTTGTGAGCAGTGCCATTGGATGAAATTAGTTAGAGCCATTCAAGGTGGTAATGTAATGTGTAGGTGCCATCAACCAAAAGTAGATTAGCCACTCCCATCTGCACATGTCGCTTACCCTGGCATTTTGCACGTCAAATGTAAACTATCACAAACACTAGCCCTCGTACACTAAGTCCTCTGTCAAAAAGAAGAACATCACTCGTAAACAGAACCCAATATCACCAAATATTTTGAAGAATTCATTAAACAATTGGAGAATGATGTAATGCAAACAAAAATAGATTCTATAACAGGAACTTCAATGAATATACTTACAGCCTGCTTAAAGGTACCAACACAACACAACTTCACGAATCCACACCAATGGAAAATTGAATATTACTTCTGAAAAACATTTAATTTTCAAGAAATCTCAAAAAATAAAATATCTCAAAAACTACACTTTACAAACTCAACTAGAACGGATGACAAATACTTCACCATGATTATTTTCAGTCATATTTTATGTGTAAGATAGAGAAAAGTTCCAAAAAATATTCATTTTATTCTTTCTCTAACTTTAATTACAAATACAATCACAAACAAACAAAACACACCGCAAAATATGTTGCCATTTTTAAATATTTAGTTTTATTATACCGATTTCAACATTGACTTACAAATAAAATGGATTTCAAGGATAGCGTGAAAGATAGGCGCGGCGCGGCGCGGTGCGGCGCAGCGCGGCCGGTGGCGAAAATTGGGAAAATTCCCGAAAAATTAGAAAACTATAAAATTATAATTTTGAAGGCTCTTATGTTCTAGATTTAAAATATGTTTTGAAGTTTTATTTACCGCGAATTATAAAATAAACTTGTATAGTTTAAAGCCAGTAAAAAACGAGATTTAAAATGATTTCAGAAGAACCTGGTTAATGTAATTCACATTAACTTCTTCTTCTTCAGTGTCACATTGTATGTCAATTTAAAATTGCTGTAAATTTAACCTTTTATTGAAAACAAACATACTATATAGCGATACCAAGACATGTGCTAGTTTACTACATGTATGCACTTTGTCTTTATTTAGCTGCACTTAGTACTGTAAAAGTCATTTCGTATTAATAATTGATAAATAAATTTAATTCCAATTGGCGCACGGGAACTCGTAGCGACATAAAACCTGCTACCAAAATATATTTATGAATCGGCACGCCACCACGCTACAGGGACAACGCCTCCCGTCCTGCGGTACATATTATTACTACCTACCAAATACAGATATACAGACCTACGAAAAGGTGTCAGATAGTACAAGAAAAACTTAAAAGACTAAGGGTCGTATTCTAAAATTCTACTCAATGCTCAAGTCAGGATTGCACTGGAAACACAAGCACTGGAAATACGACCCTAATGTCAGGGACTTGAGTATGATTTCGAGTGCTTTAAATCATACTCAAATCCTGACTTGAGCATTGAGTAGAGTTCTAGAATACGACTCCTAGGGTCATATTCTAGAACTCTACTCAATGCTCAAGTCAGGATTTGAGCAGAATTGAGTATGATTTCAAGCACTGGAAATACGACCCTAATTGCAAGGACTTGAGTATGATTTTCAGTGCTCACTGCAATACTCAAGTCCTGACTTGAGTATTGAGTAGAGTTCTGGAATACGACCCTTAGAACTTATAGTTGAAGAATTTACTACACTTTGCTAATACTATTTATAAATAAAATTGTAAATACATTTTGCTACAACTCTTTATATTTTTCCGTTCATTTTTTGACAAGCTATATTTGAACATGACATTTAAATATATTTCTTCTTTTTGACCATTGAGTTTCATTGAACATCATGCTCAAACTCTAACATCTTCTCTCAATGAATACCCAATCGACAGAGTAATTTTTGTAGCCTGGGTCTCGGTAGAGCTTTGGTAAAAATATCCGCCAGTTGTCCTTCACTTGACACCTTCTTTACTGTAATCTCTCTCTTAGTTACCAGCTCTCTGATGAAAAAATGACGTATTCGGATATGCTTTGTACGCCGACGAAATTCTGGATTTTCCGCTAGTCTTATTGCTGCCTCGTTTTCAACTTGCAAAGTTGGTTTAGCTTTAACTACAACTAGACTTGTCATAACCCGAGCTAACCAGACACACTCCCTTGCACCTTCGCTAGCAGCTACAATCTCCGCCTCTGTAGTCGAAATGGCTACACTTTGTTGTCTCTTGCTCATCCACGTAAAAGCTCCTCCGGCATACATGCATAGCACTCCTGTGGTTGAGCGCCCCGTACGTACGTCTCCGCCATGATCTGCATCACTGAAGCATTCCAGAACACTCTTATTTCTGCAATAATTGATTCCGAAATCTGGAGTATACTGCAGATATAGCATAATCCGCTTCACCCTGGCATCATCAGTAGGACTATCAAGGCTTCTTGACACCACACTGACAGCATACGCTATGTCTGGCCATGTCCCGACCATCAAATAGGCTAGTGCTCCAACAATCTGCCTATATCTGTTTGATATCTGAGTCGTCTCTTTGTTCAGCGTGTATTCGTCCATCATTCACAATAGGTGTTGATACCGGTTTGCACTGCTCCATACCAAACCTCTTCATCAACTTCTTTGTGTAGGAAGCCTGATGTATCTTTAAACCGTCTTCTCTGTGTTCTATCTCTATACTAAGAAAGTAAGACGCAGGTTTTGTTGTGATTCTAAAACCTTTACTCAATTGCTCCAGAAAGTCTTAATATGGATTTGCTTGACTTACTTTAAATCCGATTTCCTTCAAGAAATTCATTATGCGCTTATTCCAGCAGCGCGGAGCTTGCTTTAAGCCATAAAGACTTCTTTTTAAAAGACACACGCGTCCAGTACCGTCATCATATCCTTCGGGTTGCTTTATGTATATCTCTTCATCAAGGTCTCCGTATAAAAACGCAGTTGTTACATCAAACTGTCTAATAGCCATATTTTCACTAGCAGCTACGCCAAGTACCGCTCTCACTGTTCCTAGTTTAGCAACAGGGATAAAAGTTTGATCATAATCAATTCCCTTTTTTTGTGAATAACCTTTGACAACCAAACGAGCCTAGAACTTGTCTACCGTACCATCTGGGTTGTGCTTTACTCGATAAACCCACTTACATGATATACATTTCCTTTTCTCCGGTAGGTCCACAAGTATCCAAATCTTGTTTTCTTGTAACGAATTTATTTCGCTGTTCATAGCTTTACGCCATTCATTGGTATTTCGAGATTTTATTGATCCTTTGTAAGTTTCTGGTTCAGAATCAGTGCCAAATTCCGTACTCATGATATAATTTTTAAATCTTTCAGGTTGTTTCAAAGTGGTGCGATTCCGTAATACCTTACGATGAATTTCTTGAATTTCACTTGAATTCATCAACTTCAACTTCAACTTTTGTGTCTATGGCTCCGTCGTTTTGCGCGACGATTATTTTCTACCACTTCATTTCATTTTTCCGTTCATTTTTGACAAGCTGTATTTAAACATGACATTTAAATATATTTCTTTTTTTTTTACCATTGAGTTTCATTGAACATCATGCTCAAACTCTAACAAAAAGTATTTTATTTATTATTTTTATTACATTACCCGGATTCAAGAGATCTTAACTATAACTTGGATAGGTGTAATAAGATTTAGGGGGTTAAGATCTCCGTCACTAAGTTGAGGATATCTCAAAATCGTAATAATATGTCACACAGTTATTAACAGGACTAAAATAGCTGAAGTCGAAAAAGAGGTTAAGGGGGCTACATAATCATAAATGTAGGACCTTAATAGTTTTCCACACAGTATGCGCTCTCTACAAGTGAACGCAACGCAGCTGTTATGATTGCTTGAAACTCCATGGCAATCAGACGAATAAACTGAAAAAAGGCAGTAGCAGTGAGTGAAATATTAAAGCACAGTTGTTTATGATTTTATTATATGTCCGTACCAATTATTTTAAGGATAATTATTTTAACATCTTATTTCTTTTTAAATCGCACTCTGGTCACACTGTTTTTTTGTTCTGTCAATGTGTAAATGTCAAAATTTCCGCTAAAACCTTAGAGGATGGAAAAAAGTCTAAGGCTAAAACAACGTTTGTGACTATAGAAGAATATATCTGAAATAAAAATAATAATTGAAAACATGGACGAGGATACACTGCAAGCCAATATGGCCACACTAAAGGAGATGATATTAGACGAAGAACGTTTAGTAACTTACGTTTCCCTTAGTAAAGATCTGTGCATCCATGTCAACGATAGCAAGTTGTTGCTCAATAAATTAGTGGAAGATATTAGACAAAAAGGCCCAGTAGATACCATTAATGTGAGTTACATTATATCTGGTATAACAGAAGATTGTAAAGGACGCACAACTGTAGCGGCAGAACAAAATATAGCTGAGGCAAGGAATACATTTAAAACAATATTTTTCGAGCACGTATACAGTATTAGCAAAGGTTTGTCCAACATAGACAAAGTTGCTTTTTTGGCTGTGTGTAAATTTGAAGATTTTCCTCTCTGCACAGGCCTCATAAAGAGCAGTTCATGTGTAAAACGCAGTTCAGATGAAATAAATACTTTTAAGTCCAATAGCCAAGCCACTGAACTAGTTGAACCAAAACCTTCGAGTTCATTACAAAAGAAGATAAAAATAGAACCAAAAGAAATTGCTAAAAATGGTCACACAGAGCCTAAAGAAGTTACTAAAGTTCATGAAACAAAATCAGAACCAACTATAAAAAGTGAAATTTCATCGCCTAAAAAACATCAAACCAGTAATGGAAAGCCCAAACAAGAACTTAAAAAGAATGGTCATAAATCACAGAAGAGTATTGCTGGGTTTTTCAATAAATCAAATAGTGCTCCTACTAAAACAGTTGAGGTCATTAAAAGTAAAAATGATATTAAAGAATTAAAAGCAGAAAAACAAAATTGTAAAAAAAATCCAGTAATGGGAGCAGAACAAATGGAAATAGATGAAGAAGTAGAGAATAAACAGAAAGAAACAGAGTCTAAAAAAGAGACACAAAACAAAGAGAGACAACAAAAAGAAATTTCCAGCAATAAGTCTCTTAATCAAATTAAGAGGAATGCTAAAGTTGACACAAAAAGGAAAAGGGTGTTATATATATCAGATAGTGAGAGTGACTGCGAGAACAATCCTTTTGTTGATGATGTGGAGCCCAATATTGAACATGTGTCCGAGGATGAGATTCCTCCAACTCCAGCTGTCAAAACTCTAAAGATCTCATCAGGGATCACTAATCCTAAAAAGAGAAGGAAAATTGTAGATAAGACTTACACAGATGAGGATGGCTACATTCTTACTAAAAAAGAGGAAGTTTATGAAAGCTGCTCAGATAATGAAGAGAAATTGCCCTCCAAAGAAAATATAGTTCAAGGAAACCAGGTGAAAGTGCCACCAAAGATAGAACTGTCTCCTAAGAAGAATGGTCCTAAGAATTCTAAGAAACCTTCCCAGAAAGGGAAGCAGGCAACTTTAACGAATTTTTTCAAGAAAGTGTAAATGACATGGTCACTGCCTTACCTCTAAAATTTGTTCATAAAATTCCTAGTTTTCTAGTTTCAAAGAATTACGCTTTCAACTTCAATTTTTGAATTGAAATTCAGTCACAGATAGGACAGATTTATTGTAACAATACAGAACTTGCAGAATTTCCTTTTTTTGTGGAAACTGGAAGTTTTATCAAAAACTAGTAGTTTCAAAGTTATTTCCAACAGTAATAATATTTTTGTGCATTATAATTATCCATTTAAGGCGACGTGTTATGATCCTTGCATTAGTATTTGTAATCAATCATGAATGGAATATTTGTTTGAATTTCACTTTTGGCAAAAGCATTGAGTGTTTAGTTTTACCCTTAACAGAATGAGGATTGTTTATTTTGTCAGTATATGTATAGCCTAGGAATGGGTTGTTTAAATGTAATAAAATTTTTTTTTTACATGATACATATATATATTTTTCAGTTTCCATTGTACATAAGATTCTATATCAAACACATTGAAATTCACTAATTCATGTAACTTTTTAATAAAGAAACTTAATACCATACATTATCAAATAATTACAAAATAGTTAATTCATCTTTTGGTTCCAATAGCTACCACCCATTCAGGGTGGACTTGGACATCAACTAAATATGAGCATTTTGTGTTGTAGGTGGCAGTCTGAACGTCTTGATTGCATATTGGCCTGAAAAATAATAAAAGATTTCAATCTTTATTGCTAAAAATAATTTGTTTAGATACTTATAATAATAAAACAAAAGTTTTACTTTTGAATAATAACTTTTTTATAAAAAAAAGTGTTCGCTTGTGAATTAAAAATAGAGTCTAAGTCAAAGTCAAAGTTGATTTATTCCATAGGTAAAATAAATTTACA